ATTTGGTTTCTGCGCATGCGCAGTGCCCACACCCGGTGTGGGCAAACGCGGGCTTGTTTGTAAACAGCGTGTCGGTGAGGCGACGTTCAAGAAGCGAGCGCCCGAATTGCCTCGTCATGGCGCTCGTTTCTTTCTGTGTTTATGTATCACCGACTTACCCAATCACGCAAAAAAAAAAAAAAAATAACGCAGGATCGCGACGTATGCGAAGAGCAAATCGTCTGCTTTTTGCGTAGGAGTTGCAGTGACGTCAGAACAAAACCGAGCTCTTATTGGCTTTGTTTGAAAGAATAGTGGGCAGACCTCAATGCTAGATGCCTCAAGGTATACCTTTTTTTTTTTAACGATTGGCCAATAAGAGCTTGGCGTTCTGATATCATCGCACCCCGTGTGCAAGAAGCACACGAACTTGCGCTCCACATTCACTGGGCGTGGTTGGATTTAGTCAGCAAACGCACAAAGAGAAACGAGCTCCGTGACAAGGTAATTTCGGCGCCTTCTTCTTGATTGGCTCTATTGGATGGTAACGTTAGCCGTGGTCCAACCTATAGTGAAACGGAGAGTAGTTGGGAAAACTTAATGAAACGACAGTTTTCTCACGGGATAAGTGCAACGCGTGGAGCAGGGAAACGTTGCCCGACCAGACTGTGCTCGGGAAGTATACTTGCCGCGGCGTCATCGACCCGCGCAGTGTGCGTCGTCTCGCCGCCGTCCCAAGTACGTGACTCGCGTTTTTCATCGTCGAAAAAAAACAAACAAAGAAACTCAGGATTGAGCGCGTTTTTTTTTTTTTGTTTTGTTTTTTGCTTCCTGCTTTCGGTGAGATTTTCGGTCGCACAGAGACCCAGCGATGCAGTGCACTTTTTGGCAGGAGCAGCGCAGTGAACGAGGGTCTTTATTATGTTCTAGCGTACGTTAGCGCCGCTTTCCGGATGGCTGTGTGTCAGAAGTATGCGCTCGATTGGTTCGTTGGCTCGCTCCGACCACACCGGTCGTTTGGTCAAATTACTGTGGGCGGTCCTCTGCCGATTTAATCTGGGCGCTTTTTTGGCGTTCCCGGGACTTTTGCACGCTTGACGGATCGGTCTAACCTTAATTTGCGAGGGTGTGGAGGAGCATTGTCTGCTGCCGGTGCGGCACCGTTGTCCCTGGTGCCTGGGAGGAAACATGATTTGGGCTGAAGTTGGCCGTTGCCACTTCAACGCGTCCGAAGTCTCTCAGCTGTGGAAAAAAAGCAATTCTCTTCTTTTTCTGAATCTTAACCTTTTCTCCGTCTAATTGAAAGCGGAGTTACGTCAACTTGTCTTGTTTCTTTTTTTGCTACTGCGCATCCGACAACTGCGCATAACTTGCTGTTATCGCACTGCCATAGTAGCTTCGTTCGATTTACGGGCACCTTCCGCACCTGTGCAGAAAGGCGTAGGGCGGTGAACTTCCGGTCGTATCTCAATGCGCATACCGGAAGTACAATACACTTTTGTGCATCTGTGCAGGAGCCAGAAAATCGAGTAGTATTGTTGACTTTGAAATGCAGAATGAGCTGATCGAGTGGGCCGAAGATATGCGAGTACAATTGTGCGCTCGAACTCGGGGTATTCTGAATTTTGACTTAAAATGTAACTACAGACGTATTTTGTTTCTTCAAAGGTACTATAGAATTATATGAGCTCAATTTTTACAGTCTTACAGAAGATTACGAACTTGAAAGTGTTACAGGTGATCTGCAACGTCACTCTACTGATCCAGAAGCTTTATTCTCCCTTTGAAGATAGAATAACGGAAGCGAAGTAGGTCTTCACTTTGAGAACGAAAGCTTGGGCGTGTTGGTAAGGCATGATTATTTAAAACGCACAGCGAAACAGAAGGGACGGAAGAAAGAAGACAAACAAATGCTGAACTTACAACTTAAAATGACGACAGCATGCACGATTATTGTGCGGGTTTCAGTGGGGTGTTATTGGCTTTGTGTGTTTCCCTTTGTTTGATCGTATATATAGGCTGCGCCTTGACGATTAAAACTTCAGTTGTAAGTTCAGCGGTTGTTTGTCTCCTTTCTTCCGTCCGGTCTGTTTCGCTGTAAGTTTTAAATAATCTTCACTTTGTTTGGAGGGAGGGGAAGGTAGGGGGGTATTCCTTGGTGCTACATACAGTCTCTCAGTGTACTAAGACAGTTTCAGTCTTATATTTGCAACTAGAACACTTGGCGAGCGATCATTACAGTCTGCGAAAGAAATTGGGCGAATTCGGAGACCGAAAAAAATGCTTCGAGCTATGGGCTGATCGCTCGTCGCTCCAGTCGTTTGTATTATGTAGTAGAGGGCTGTGGTGTTTGAACAATGTGTTTCCTTCAAGCTGGTTATGGTTCGGATGGTATCCAATCACGACCGGCATCACTTTGAGACGAGTGACGTCGTATTGGCGTACTCGATCGCTCGTCGCACAGTGCTCCTATTCTGTTTTATATAGAACTCAAGTAAACGCCACACGGATTACCATTCGTCGTAAAGTACTACGTTTTATTACTTGAGTAGACTTCTCTCAAAGAGGCGACGAAGATCGAAACGTAGACATGAGCGATCATGTCAGCTATGCGATCACGCTCTTCTTAGACCACGACTATTCCTTTCCCGTGCGCCCCGACCTGCTGTGATAGCAGGAAACTCGACGCACACCAAAGAAGCCTTTGACGGCGGTGACTCGTCCGTGCTGCGAAAAGATTGAGCGTGCACGGCGCCTCCTTTCTCGCCCTTCCGGGTGAATGCTTATCGAAAAAGCAGAAGGACGTGCCGCGCAACGCAACTTTTGACATACGCTGATTGGCTCACATCAAACGAAACGCTTCGCCTGGCGAAAACAATCGGTCCCGGACCGATCCAGACTTTCCGCGAGCGGCGAGCGAATTTCGCCTCTCGGCTCCAATTTCTGCTCGTGGCCGGCGCGGATCCGCCCGTAAATTCGCAGGCGTAGACGCACCATGAAGAACGGATGTCTGCTGCGTAACATACGACAACGCTTGGTCAACGCCTCCTGATTGCAAGGCCGTAGCGCTGAACCTTCGGCTTCACCCAAAAGAGGAGAACGGGGGCACAGATCCGGCACAAGCGCTGCGTCAGAGTTCGGCTGAGACTCGGGTACAATCCGTGAGGACACGAGCCCTAGCCGAATGATGACGCAGTGCTCGTGTCCAATCGCTGTCCTGCGCTATCCTGTTTGAGGTGAGGCCGAAAATTCATCACCGACTTGGTCCCGTCGCTTCTTTTTTCAGTCTAGTTTTTACCCACCGGATTTTAACGTGGTTATAAGAACTGCAGGGGATAATCCCTCTACCCCCCCCCCCCCCCCCCTCTTTGTCTCCTGACATTTAAAAGTAAATTAATAAAACATCATGTTTTACTTATTTTATACTGTTGTACTCAATGTGCTGCGGAAAACGGAGCGTTGAGAGTAGTTTTATTTTCGTAAACACAAATGTAGAAAACGACACACTGCTTTTTTGCCACGAAGTAAAAAAAAAAAAATGTGTGCAGTTTCGTTTTTCTTGACTGTATTTGGACCGCAGCCTTTGGAAATTTGTTTTTTTTCTGCTTACGAACGTGGATAATATTCTGCACCAGAAACTTCACTGTGGTCGACAATAAACACCGTTCCCGTCTAAAGTATTTTGCTCCCCTAATTTTTTATTGTTTAGTAACTGCGAATTTTTGTACGTCGTGCTACGCATATTACATCTGCTATCTCCATGAAACAACAAACAAAGGAATAATAAAAAAAAATATTATTTACATTATATGACACTGACACGCTAAAGTACGAGTTCGTATCATACTCCCTCACGTGTCCAATGCCTGCACACTTTCAATTACATCAAAACCGCATAAAAACTCTGAAATACAGTTCTGCCGGCATTGACGTGACGACCTTGTCAAACAATAGACAGCCGCCGCGAAAGTCCCGCGTCAGAAGCAGAACGAATGGCCGTATCTGCTAAAAACCCATCAAGATCACGCGTTACCCGGATCACAAGGAACCGTTGCCCCTGGTACACTCTTAAGCGATGTCACGGCCATTTTGCTTGTAGGTACTGCTCCTCCCTCGGCTCCCCTGCTCTCCCAGTCACGTGACCTAGAATTCCCTCTTCTAGGGACAATAGTTAACTTTAACCCACGGTTCGCGTTTGAGAAAACGGGCCCAGGTGGGAAGTTAAGTGGGACGTTACGTTAAACACCGTTGTGGAATCTGACCTTAATCTCGAAGCTGATTTCCTTGCAAAAAGTTTCGTTTAACCCGGGTGAACCGTGTTCTACGCGTTTCCTCGTTTATACAGAGAGTACGTGTTTCAGGTATCTGATAATCATAAACAATAAATGTGAAAAAGAACAATCCACGGGAAATCTTAGCCTTAGCAGATTGGCCCTTACTAATAGGGTTAGTAGAACGACAATCCACGTAGCCCCTACCTGTTCTCAATAAAAAAAAAAGGCAACAACAACAACAATGAAGCGAACTGGCGTTCCACATATAATTCTCAACTTTAAGCCGAATTGACCCGTCGGCCGAATAAACACTTCAGCCCGAATCGATATGTCACCATAATTGCCTATCTTCATAAAAATTGTGACTTGTTCTGTAAATAATATGTGGAACGCTAATTTAAGTGGAACCCAGTGGCGTAGCCAGAAATTTGTTTTCGGGGGGGGGGGGGGAGGGGGGGAGGGAAGGCTCAGGTGGCTGGAAGGTCTATGACTTATAGACCTTCTCTGTGTACTCTCGTCTCCAGCCACCTAATAGGCGTATCCGGTATGGGCGACGAAAAAATATCAAAACGTTTCAACCTGCAAATAGTAAAAAAATAAAGGGGAAGAAAAACGAGAATCTGTGACGTTTGCGTTTAAGTCCTAAATGCCTTCTATTGGCGTGGCAAAGGCAAAACAATGTTTTCGCCCATACTGGAAGTGACGTCAATTCAAGATGGCGGCGCACTTGCAGAAAAGGTCTATAGGGTGCGGAAAGTGGAAGGGGTGCTCAAAATTCATGTGTATATTACAGGGTCCGCTGGATTCCGTGAGGGAGGGAGGGAAGTGTGTGTGTGTGTTGGGGGGGGGGGGGGGTTGAAACCTTATAAAACTCCCCCCTGGCTACGCCACTGGTGCAACCTATATGTGGAACACAAATTAAGAGTGTACGCATTTTGCCTTCGTAACGCCGTACATCTACTGCGCTGGCCTTGATGAATATTGTCCCGAATAATTTCGTGAGACCTCGTAGATGGGCACGTTCATCGTCGACGACGTAGAATATCCCGACGCGGTGTAAGACGATTCCATCGGACATCCCGTCACGGTGTCGGGCGACGCCATTGGAAGTCCCGACACAGTGTAGGAAGAAGACGTATCGCCTTCCCTCGGCGTGTGGGCTTGGTTGGCCCACTCCTGAGGTTCGGCCGAGCCGAATGCTATAAACAGAACGGCGCCGAGTGTGTAAACGGTGGCCGTTATGTAGAAGACGAGCCTCCAGTTGTCCACGTTGTTCTGCGAGCAGAGATAGCGAAAGCAATGCTTTGCGGTGGCTTGGAGGTATTCTCCCTCGCTAGTCACCAATAACTAGAAAAAAGAATCTCTAAATTTTGCACTTGCTAAGTGAATGAATGCGCATGGCTGAACCATTGGCATAAGGCGGCGGCTAGCGGATATTTTGCGCCATACCCGCCAACTACTAGATACACTCGAGCAAGTCACAATGAAAGGGTATTCACAGGCGTTCCAGTGCACCGAAACTTTGGTCTTTTTCTATGCGCACTTGACATGGCGATTTTGTGAGGAGCCAAAACGAAAGTCATTGCGCGTGTCCGTATGCGGGATCATTACTGGCGCAGTAAGATTCAGCTAATGTCCCAGAGAGAAACGAGTAGAAGTGAAATGCATTAAATGTCAATCTGGGCCTCCGGCATGCCATTTTGTTTTGTTTTGTATTTTGAATGTAAGGATTTGCAACTAAAATCGGGGAAGGGAGGGGGGTGGGGGTGCTCGAAGTACGTATACACCAACTCATGTTTACAAACAAACCGGAGCGCCCGGAGCGCCCCTAGCGGACGCCACTGGCGCCGCGCATGCGCGATAGGGGTGTGGGCATGAAGCTCGCCGTCGCCCATAAACAAACCATTGAAATGCGATGTTCTCGGCGTCGGTGTGAGCCCCCGCGCTCTTTTTGGCGTTGGAATTGTTGATTCTACGTCCTCCTAACGATGTCTGACTACTTGAGCGGCGTCAGCGAAATTATCGAGGCTCGCTACACCGCAAAACTTCGCGTGAATCATCTGACAAGCGGCGATTCATTCCGCGTGGACGCCGCAGAATGTACGCTAAAGCCTGATTCACATGATGAGATTTCGCTCGCAATTTTCAATAACGACGTCGCTCGGACTGCAAAAGTGTGAACCGTAGCTGAGATGTCGACGTCGATACTGAAAATCGCAAGCAGAATCTAACCAAGTGAATGAGGCATAACAAGTCGGTGATGGCCACTGGTAACAATGATCAACATCTCCTTGTATCAACTGTTTACGTCCAGCTTGCTTACGAACCTTCAAACTTAAGTCTTTTGAGGCCTGCACTTACTGCTTATCGCAAGTACCGGGCCCACGTTTGGTCTACGTGGCCGGTGTCCTCTAAAAGAGCAGACGACAAGCAGAAACGTTTGAAAGAGCAGACGACAGTTCGAACGATCAGGCGGCCGTTTGAACTTGAAGACGCACTAAGCGTAGTCCGCAGGTGGTCCGTACAACTTGACGATTTTCCGGCGCTCATTTTGGAACAAAACAAATAAATTTAATGACCAGAAGTATCCGTGAATTCAAGCTAAAATGCTTCCCGCCCAAGCAATCGTGGTCCGACGGCGTCTGGTTTTCCCTTTTCACGGCACATATCCACGTTCTCGGACGAACCGAGCGCATGAAAATTGACCTTCAAGTCTTTCTCGACACTTTTTGGTACAGGCCCAGTCGCAGCATTTTGACGAGAAAGCAGGTTTTTGTCTGGTTCCTTTCAAAACAACGCAGGAATACACGTCTCACATGGGCACTTCCGCCCAGCCCCGGACCGGAAGTGCGTCCGACGCGCCACCACCGCGGCGTGACGTAACAGAGATGAGTTCGTGTATAGCGGCCGAAATAGTCATAATTGGTAAGATATTTTTACTATTTTACGATGACCGACAAGAGGAAAGCTTGCCAATCATCCTATGCTTTACAAAGTGGCCCTGACCATTACTTTGTGTTAGCAGAGTTTTGTTGCGTTTGTTGCATTATTACTCTATTATAAAAACAAAACGCGATATTAAAGAGCTCGTAATACTGAATTATACACGAGAATCATACATAAGACCCTCTCCTACTGTTGTCTTTTTATTCGGCTTGCAAGTTTCTTAATTGTTTCCTCACCAATCTGAAGGGAAACATTAGGATTAAGTATCACGTGCTCACCAGCACACTCACTTATTTCATAATACTGGTCTCGCCTGAACAATATTATTGGTCTTTTATTATATCGGCATGGACGGGTGTCCGTTGGCGATATTTGTAGCTGTTACAAAACTGCGATGTGTTTTCGGAACTTCATATTTTGAGCGGCAAAGTATTACATTTTGATGCTGCCACAAAGAGGGCCTTTCCTGCTTCTTGAGGTAGATATTGACATATAATTCTGCTTTGCCTGGCACACCGCCGGGCAAGGACTCGTTTCTGTGCCAGTAAATAACTTATCATTTTTCACTTATCTCAGACCACAACAAAATTTTACAGCTCGTGGTGGCCAAAGCATAAAGCTAAACGTTCGGGTCATAAAACGAAAATTCCCCACGAGTCTATAATATCGACCTAGTTCCATCGAGGACACCCACATTTGTCCTAACTATCATTCTTTGTTTCTGAGCCACAAAACAATTAAGAGAATTCTATAGCACTTCTACAAAACATCGCCATGGCGCGTATCTCAAACAACATCATAAAAGTCCGCTGGTCTCAAAGCGAGAATAGCACAATAAACATGGATGTATGACAAAACCAAACTCAGCTACTCCTACTTCGAGCAAATCAACTCACATGAGTCTCCGTCAGAAAGCCCACGACTTGCGGCGCAATTATTCCCGTCGTATTTCCTATGCAATTCGTGATTCCAAATAGAGTGCCTGGAAGGAAACGTGACCGGAACACCAATATATGTAGAGGCTCATCATAATTGTTGTAATTATCTTAAATCCTAATCGACGCAACCGTTGGCCTTCACGTAGCTTTCTTTGTCATCTGACAGCCTACAATTAGTTATGCAAACAGGCCTTTATATGAGGCTAAATAACGTGCTCCGTGATGCGCAGTCCGTTCCGTCGAGCTTCGTGATGTACCGCAGGAAAGTCTCCAAGCGCGAGCTCCTTGCTTTGGTGCAGATCTCGGCGGCACTAGCTCTCGTGCACGAAAGGCAGCTGCAAAAGCTGCGAGCTCGCGCATCTAGCCTTCGCTGCGGTACAACATAAGGTGGAACAAAGTATAGCTGTTGCATTATTAAAGCGATAGCTTAAAGAGCTCGTGTTGCAGAAAAGATGGTGCCGGCGTCGGTGGCGACGCAGCCAAATGACCTCGCGCGGAAATTTCAAACAACCCACTAACGCTCACGTGACACGTGACGTCATGCATGTAATGAAAGTGAGGAAAACATGAAATGTAACGCGAATCAAAGGTCGCCACATGTCTCAAGGGATTCAACTTTATAAAGTGATTCATTTGCCTAAAGAAAAACAAATTGAAGAATTTTGGCCGAAGGCGGGATTCGAACCTACTACCACACGCTACCGACCAGGCCAAGTTGCGCGGGTTGGGAACGAGCGGAAATTTATATGTTGAGCTACCGCGTTCAACTCTTAAATGCGAAGTTTCAGCGTCCTCCTGTAATATTGAATTTATTTTTGCGGGGGTTCATACATTCCTGCCGTTGTGGTTAGCGGAATATTTCTTGCCCTCGGCAACCTTGAAGAGCTGTTTTTCACAATTTTAGGGTCGAACATTTAACCTACCGCTAATGCCACTTAATTGTTCATGGAACGGTTTCCTTAAAATCGTTACCTCATCGTGGCCGACGCACAAAGCTGATCGCTCGCTGCGAGCATAACGGCAATCTCTGCTGGCCACATCACAGTACGTAAAAAGAACAATCCGCTCGCTGACTACTTGAAAGAAAACGTTTGGGTATGTCCGAAGATCAGTATCGCGAGAGCGAGGGATCTATGCGTCAAACGAAAAAAACTCTGCCTTCTCCAGTTGGGCATGAAGAGACGGTGGGGTGGGGGGTTCGAGGAACGTCAGTGTATACTCATGGCATAGTTCCCGAGATTTTAAGAAACTCCAGGCGTGGCTCATAGTATCCGCGCTTCTCGCGCCATGATTCGTTCCTCGACGCTTTTATCGGCAAATGACTGCAATCTCATGGGCTCTTGGGTAATAATGAGATGCATCCTGCAGTTCTTAACCTCTCGGTGACCATAATAACAGTGCCAGAATCGGTACGCGTAATGCGAGAGCCATCGCGATTACAGAAGAAAAAACAACAGTTATTTAACGATATTGCTCGCAGTTCAAGGTGGCGTCACCTGCGAACGCGGGCGCCATGTCGACGTGGGTGCAGTTGAATCCCGAGTTGGCGAATGAGATGAGAGCTATCGCCAGCCAGAACCAGAAGACTGCCAGGGTGCGCTCGCACGGCGTCGCCGTCACCGCCATCAGGCAGAGCGCAGGTCCAAAAGCCGCTGCGGGCAAAAAACATGGCCCCGCAGATGTGCAAAAGGAGTGCCATAGGAAGTCAATAAAAAGATGACAGCGTCAAAGTGTTATCGAAGGTTCGAAACTTGCGCTGGAGCAACACCACCTAGAATATTCAAAGACTCTGCATCGCCTCTTCTCCCTTCATGAAGCGTCATTACAGTCGGATCGCGCTACATCGGCAATTGGACCCGAGTCCGAACTTGGACGCGCTGATTGGACACGAGCCCCGGCCGAACGCTGACGTAGTATTCGTGCCCAATCTCAGGTCTCTGGCGATCTGACTGTAATGACGGTGCGGAGGTCTTCTGCTTTTATAGGTGGCGTTGGATGGAAGCGTTACAACTGCGAGACCTCCGTGCCGTATATTCAACCTGTCAGTGGTTAAAATAAAAACATGTTTAAAGAGAACTCCTCGGCTTTCTGTTTTTCGAACCTTCTGATTGGTTATATGTTTATATTTGTTTTTTCGAATTTGGATGTGTGTTTTGTTTTGTGTGTTTATTGTCTCGCAACGAGAACCCTAAATTCGAGGGAAAGAATAAACACAAAAAACTGAAAACCTAGTTATAGAAAGCGCAAATGTTAAGGTTTTGTTCTCACATTAGTAGAACATTTTTTTCAATGATCAATTTAGACACTTCGCTAAGAAAATAAAGACAAAAAAAGAGGGTCGTACGATGCCTGAATAAAATTTATCTAACAAAAATTAAGAGCATTAAACAAAGTCTGCATAGAATTTTGTCAGGGGTAAAACTTCTTAGGAAGAAACATATAATAAAAAAAAATGAAAAAGCCTTTCACGCACACCGTTATCGTCCGCTATTGCGGTTTAACTATTTTCTTATTGTAATTTCACTGTAGCTTTTTTGCTGACTCGAAAAAAATAACTGAGTACATTGAAATACGTTCCTAAAACAAAATATGAAATGCTAAATAAAGGAACAGATATTCGGACGCTTAACAACTCTTCTAGGATAAAGTTTTCTTAGAGTACCAGGTGAGCGAGCTGCACATCTATCTTTACATCGCTGTGGGTGCACCGACTGCATTTTTATCAACACAACTGAAGATCCGAAAACAACATTGGTGAACACCGCAGGAAAACAGTTTTGGCGATAGTAGACATAAAAAAGAAAGCTTACAGACAGAATCGCAGAATTTTCTTATTGTGGTCGCCGTGGCAATGTTGCGTCGCCTGACAAGGTCTGCAGCCCAGCCGACAAGAAGTGAAAACACGGACAGCATGAGGTATGGCACTCCGCTCAGGAGCCCATTCTGCCGTCCAATCAGCGGAGACAAAACACTGTTACACAAACCCATCTTTGATTTGCAAATGAAACATACAACTGCACACCAGGACGAAGGATTTCAACACCAACCAATACGAGACGAACCGAATGCGAATTAGAATTGGCAAACGCAGTAACGATGCAGCGTTGGGAGATAAGGACACATCTTCAGCATTGGATAAACTTATAATGAGTGTCCATAGAGGTCACTATTTTTGAGACGTCATTGGCCACGGGACTGAACGTTGCGTCCTATTGGGCGTCGAATGAATCCAGCAAGACGAAACACGGCGGATGTAACGAAGTGCCTCATATAACATCACCTGGCATGTCGCCCCGCTGATTTCTAGTTGGCTTGACTGGTATACAAAAAACTCAAGGTACTAAAAAAAAAAATGCAGGCTTTTTACACTCTTCTGAAAATGGATTGTGTCGAAACCCGTGGTGTAGTGCACTTTGCCGCACTCAACCCCTGCATGTGTGTTCATGCTTGTTTTACAAGTGGCGTAAAATGTGCCCATGCCCAAGACCCGTGCCCCGACTGGTCCATGAAAGCAAAGGGCGGCGAAACACTAAAAAACTCTTACTTTAGAAGAAAATGGCAGCGCAGCACTCGTGGCAACACAGTGGTGTCACAATTTAACGTGACTCTGATCCCTTGTTAAACTAAGCCGGAAGCGTTCCCCACTCAATTTAGCCGACCACGGTCACAAAGCACTAAACACATTGCGGGATCCGTCGCGTAACCTCGTTAACCGTGTCAATGCCGACTGTCGCTGTAAAAAAAAAAAAAAAAAAAAAATATATATATATATATATATATATATATATATATATATATATATATATATATATATATATATATATATATATATATATATATATATATATATATATATATATATATATTTTTTTTTAGAGTTGTTTGCACATACTGACCACAATGTACGCGTAACTATTTATTTTCTGTGCATTGTGGCAAGATTTAGGCATGTAATATTGTAGTAGCTGAAACAAATACGTAAACTTCATAAAGGCGGTCTATCCCTAAAACGAGAAAAAAAATCAGCTGCAAAAAGAAAAAAAAAAAAGAGCACATACATCTAATTGCGCCTCGTACGCTTAAGCAGTGTTGGCGATCTCACCTGTGTGAGTCCAAACCCGAGGATGTTCTTGAGGTAGTTGGGAAGCTCTGTCATCAGCGTGTAAGACCCGTACGTGTGGGCCCACTGAGTCGCTGTCAGGGACCATACTGCCGGCGAAGTGAGGATGGCACACCACGGAATCTGTACGTGTTGAGATACACGTGCTCACGCTTCGTCCCCGCAATAGACCAGTTTACAGGTGTTCGCGGAAATGTGCACGGCAGTAGGAGTCAAGCATTAATCACCAGCGCTGGCTTGCGTACCACGTTCCCACCGGAGAGCTTGCTGGCCGAAAACCCAGGTGAGTCGGGATGTTCAGTCGGTTTGTTTTGGATGTAAGTGAACCAGACGATGCACCAGACACAACCCGAGAAACCTGAAACACGACGTCGCTGGCTTGTTTTCAGCAGAACGGCGATTCTCCGATCAGATAAAATTGCGAAAAGACAACAACGCTTCTGCCAGGTTTGAAGTGCCAGTATCGTAAAGAACATCTCGTTGAAGATTTTAATAACAAATTAATGTAAATGTTTGGACAGAGACCATGGTGATATTCGGTGCCATAATGAATCAGAATGACCGCTCTTTCTCTTTGCTACTGCTTGAAAGGTATCTTTTAGTTGAGAATACATAAAACAGCGCAAAACTAAAACAAAGACAAGGTGAAGACACATGCAATCCTTCAAGTAGCCTTGTGTTTATATGATTTATGAAAACTCTGCGTGCGAATTTGTTGCGGTCTAACTGAAAAAGAGCGTCTTTTTGCACTTTTCGGGCAGTGGCTGTTTTTATACCACGATTGTCCACAAAGCCTGAGTCTCTGTTAATCGTCGTATACTCCAACGACCCGAGAAACCTAAGCCATTTCGGTCTTCGTCAGTTCTAAAGGCTTTTTGTGCACTCACCAAAGACGTAGAAGGCAGACTGCCAGCCCCCTAGGAATTCCGAGTCACTCATCACTCCCGTGGCCGTCATGGCTATCACTGTTCCGGTGAAGGATCCCGTGAAAACCATGCTGGAAATAACGGTGCGCTGTGCTTTGGGCACCCACTGGGCGAGCATCGCCTGCATGGCCGGAAAACAGCATCCCTGCGAGAGGTAGGCAGTCCCCGTTAAGACTAGGTGTCTTCACTGAGAATTAAGCCTCAGGGAACTATCAGTAATAGAATAACTGACGTGACTCAATTGAACATCATGTTTGAAGCTCTAAAAAGTTAAGGTGAATTCAATAAACAGTTTCTTCAAGAGCGACAGTGAGCTCGAAATTCAACTGCTTTGTGAATTGAGAGCTTAAAAACGAAACCTGGATTGCTTCTTGGATTTAAAAGAGTCGTGTCTTTATAAATTGTACACAAAAAATAATCTACCTACAAAAAAAAAAAAAAAAAGGAAAAAAGAAAAACGAAACTGTTAAGACAACACGGCTATACATAATTTAGTCATAGGCCCTGGTGAAGTGGAATATACGTATATGACACAATATCTTTCATTGAAGAACACTTTCACGGCTCGAGCATGAATTGACAATTAAGAAACGCATACTGAGATAACTTTACTGCTGGGACCCACTGTATACGTTCCTATATTTCTGATAAGTTTGTTTTGCAAATAGCGCGATAGTTTCGCGGACAAATCGATTTATATGCGTGACCCGCAGAATCATCTCATTCGGGAAGGCCGCCATATTTGTTGTGTCGGTGACGTCATTCGCCCAAGGCGCAGCGTCCCCTTGCCACGCACCTACAAACTTGCCTCTCCTCTAGGTGTCTCGTTCTTCAGCTTCCTCGTTTGCCTTCCGCGTTCCGAGCATGCGGTTCCCGACGATTACGACTACGGCATCGCTCGCTTTGTCGGAGTCTTTGACATAGATCGCAGCAGCGATAGGGGTGTTGGAAGCTGGTTATTCTGACTGCGACCCGCGGCGCTGGCGACCAGCTCAAGCGACGATGAGATGGTCACGGACGAACTTGCCGGGGTTATCACCGTCCGCGACTACGATATCTCGCACGTTCATGCAGGGTGGAAGTTCAAAGGTCCGGGAGCGAGAGCGAAAGTAGCGTTGGAGTATAATCCAGTTGCGTGAGAGGTTTTGGTCGTACCGTGTGAGGGAGAGCTTGGGCACCATTAATGCTATTACTAGAGCTCTAGAAATCACAAAACTTGGTGTATTTACTAAGTAGCCCATGATAATTCTTTTTCAAGAATAATTAACCCCTTTTATTTTTGTGTCCTAAGCCCTTTAAAGCGGTACTCAAGTGATTTTTTTTTTATGGTCGCTGATTTGCACCAAAAGTGGCTCAACACACCGGTAGACAGGGCTATCAGTCCCCCAAATATTGTGTCACAATTATTTTGCGACGCAATTGCATTTTTTAATGTCGTTCTCATTGTGTTCGTCAAACCGAGAGCCCCACTGGCAACACTAAAGTGTGACGACAGAAAAGGTACAAAGTGGGTAGTAAACAACGTTTCCAACTGATCACAATACGTTTGATAGTAAGAAAAGAATGCTTGCCAAGCATTCTTTTCTTACTATCAAACGTATTGTGATCAGTTGCAAACGTTGGCTCAATCACTGAGAAGTACGAAAACGTACGAAAACGAAGGGAACGCACAACATAATCTGTTTCGGACTACATGTGCGACCTGAAATTCTGTACCATTTGTGACGTCTACAACTGGAGAGCGCGCAGAAATTTTAAGTGGGTTTTCGCATTATCTTCATTTACGATCTTCTCTATAGCTATTTTAAAATTCTAGACAATACATAACATACCATGAGGACTAAAGTCCGGGTATTAAGAAAATGCATTTAGTTAGCTTAATTGGGTAGCTCTGAAAACGCCCGGAGTACCCTTTTTAGCAGAGACTGCAACCAGTGCCGCCGTACGAGAACAGGAGATCGTGAATTTGAATAATTCTTTGTCAGAACAAGCACTTGCGCTACACTCCTCCAGCGCGAGCTCGCTGGCTTCCGCAGTGCATTGGCTGCACGTGCCTGCGCGTTCACACTTGTGTTAGCAAGGGCACAAGGCTCGCGCTGAAGGCGGAGCTTCTAGTCTCAGCTTAAAACGGAGTATAGAAAGTCACGTCTCAAAGCCAAAAGCGCGGGCTAGCTCGCGTTTGTAGTTTTGACTGAAGTCACAGTTTCAAGGCGAACGGAGCACCTTTCTGCTCTTACCGCTCATTCATACTGGAAGCGGATCCGCGTTCGCAAAGTGGTTGCGAACGCGGTTGTATAAAGATCCAGTACAATAGACCGATCCCACCAAGCGTTCCACGCATGCGTGACGCCGCCATAACTGTAGTTCCTACGACGCAGACGCAAAGTTCACGAGATAGCTCATGCCGCCTCGTGCTCTGCTCGCGCAGACCACCAGCAGGGTTGTCGCGCGTGCAGAAAGACTACGGCTTCCACGATGCATGTCGGCAGCGGTGGCGTACTCAAACTAGCTGTGAGATCGGTCTATAGGGAGTATTCACTGGCGGCCATAGCTGTGTGCGCGAATGCTGAGCGCGTGCTGAGAGCGAGCTTCCACAGTTCTTTTCCAACGTGCATTCCGCACCGTCAAGAGTGCCGGTCTTAGCAGCCTATTGATGTGAGCTCGTTCTGAGCATGCGCACTAAACCGCACCCACAAATATGGCGTCCAGTGAATACTCCCTATTGCACGCGCACTCGATGTCATCGAGTGCGCGTGCAATTGTACCGGATCTTTATACAACCGCGTTTGCAACCGCTTTGCGAACGCGGATCCGCTTTTATTGTGAATGAGCGGTTAGAGTTGTCTCGCGTGTACCGCAAACGAGCTCTTCAAGGACTTTTTTAGCCTCACCACATATGTAGTTCAGAAAGAATTATAACTTTCCTCGCGGTGACATCAAGCAAACAAATGTCAGCTTGACGTCATGTTAAGACACCCTAAAGCGGGGAACACACGTAAGAAAGAACAAAACTATAAAAATCAATCAAAATTATAAAAAGAAATGTTTTGTTATAAATTATACTTTGTTGGTTAAATAAAATTGATTTAATTTAAATCGAATTAAATCGGTCTAAATCTGTAGCCAGAACAAATAGTCATTACTTATCACTATATGCATTTTAAAACATGTAAGATAGATCCGTTCGATTACTGAGAGTGATAACAATGCGGAAGAAATAATTACTGTAAATTAAGAGTACACTTTGATTGACAGCTCATTCTTGATCTACAGCCTGTCATCCTAGAACAAAACAGCTTAATTTCTTAGATTAAGATACTTTTTTTTTGCGTTTTATTTAGCGTTTTCATTTGCTCGCAGTAGAACATTACTTTTCTATTTTTTTACATTTTTGTTTTGCGGTTTGATTTGCTTGTAATAGGGCATTACGTAACTGAGTAACGAAGAAAAAAGTAAAAAGGAATCTCAACGCTTCCTTTCTACGCAGAAGAGGCCTTCTGTTTACTCGTGTTCAGGCCTAAATAAATCTCCTTTGCTTGATGACTCTTCGATTTAAATAAGACATCGATGGACAAAAAAGCATCATATGATGGCAAAACGGTAAATAGAAACATATTTTTGAGATTGTTTTTGCGGGAAAAGTTAGATTTAAGTTATCCGTAATAACCTTATACATTTTTTGAAAAAAAAAAAAAAAAAAAAAAAAACGAGTTAGAGGTGAATTTAGGCGTATTTTGATCCCGTGAATCTGAATATCACGTTCGCTTTCTCCGAAGATGTAACTAAATTCGAGAGAACGCGAAAACCTCCGACCAGTCGTCACGTGATACTAGGATCTTTCGGGGCGCCAGGCGCATGTCGCTCATGTGGGCAGCGCGCGCAATTGCAAGCTTGCCAAGTGTACTCACCCGCACTGACACCAGTCGTGACGTATCTTTCTGATTTTTTCTTTTTTTTTTTAATATAGGAAGAGTGCGCGTGCATAGGCCAAATGAAGGCGATATAAATGTTTTTCCTCAAATACAGAACCGCTTCAGTTTCCCTCGAAATCATGATTGAAGCCACAATTTAAACTCTCTTGTTTTACATTTTCCACCATGGCGATAACTGAGTGGCGCCGCGTCGATGAGCGGCGTAACCATGGCAACCGCCGCCGGCATCGGTGCCAAGTGGTGGAACGATGCCACGCCCAACGTATCAAACCGAGCTAGATATTAGGGAGTTCAATAGATCGTTTTCAAAGGCCCGCTACCGTATAAGCCCTTAGCGAAAACTAATACATTTGAAATATACCACATTCTAATTTGAGTGTATTTGAAATACAGTTCATAATTTTAAGTACACGAAAAATAGACCCAAAATATAAACTTCTTTTTTTTTACTTAGTACTAAAATATACTTCTAAAAATCATTTTAAAATACCTTTGCTTAAACTACATTTGAAGTTCCCTTCGTGCGTTTTGAAATATGTAAATACTAAATTAATAGGCACAAAATACCTTTCACGTATATTTCTTGAAATATTTATTTAATTCATGCAAAATATACTCCAACCCTAAAAAAATGGAGCAATCAAAAATACGTGCAGAATACTCTTAAAATACCTGAAAATCGTAAATACTGTTGTGTTATACTCTAAGTACCTTTTGACTGCAATACTTTGGTAGTTTGACTTAAACTACCAACATATTGAAAAGCTCCCCTTCTAGAAGTTCACTTCAAGTAGATATGGAGTACACTGAAGCGCCTAAATACAACATTTGATTAGTTTGTCAACTGAATTGCGGAGCATCGCACTGATAAATCAGCCCAGTTTATGTTATTGTTTCCTTTTTTCTATCAAGGACACACCTGATCAGTTCCTTGCACACCAATCACAAACGGGGTTCGGGAACTACAACTACAACATTTGCTGATGCTGGAAAGCTTCAGCAGGTGCTGTGAACAGATACGTTTGGAGTGGTTTTGTTAGCACAATGTTAGTTCACTGAACGTGTATACTCACCATTGTACGTGATGTGAATAGTGACTTTAATATAGTGATATTAACTACCATATTAAATAGTCAACTACTAAAATGGAAAGGCAAAACAACTACTGTAAAATATTTATTTTTCGCTGGCTCAATATTTCGCGATTTAGGTCAAAGTTGGAGTTTTGGAATAATTCGCAAATTCTAATTTTCGCGACGCGCTGGGATCGCAATATAGATTTTAATATTTTTGCATTTTGCCGGAATTGTTCACGGGACCTATTTTTCGGAATTGTAGGCGATTCGCGAACTTTGCGAGAATTAGGTCCTCACGAAAATAAAGTCGTTTACAGTATTTTAAAGTGAAGATACTGCCTTGATTCGCTTCGTCCTGAGTGGTGCTACGCAGAGAAGCAATAACATGTATTTTATGAGCCGTTTGTGTGGATATTGTTTTAATGACTGCGCCGAATTGTTATTAGTTGTACCATTGCCTTTTACTAAGAGATATCGTCCACGAACTTCAAAACACTGTTTCCCCTTTGACAGACTCCCGAGGAGAAGATCGAATACTTGGAACCTTAATAAGCGCAGAGGTGGTCACCGAAAACATTATTACCTTCAATATGTAGGCTATATAAGGCTCTAGAGCAGTCAACGGGACTGTGAATGAGCTGTTCAGTGCACTCATGGTGTTTGTGTTTGTGTTCGTTTCTAATGTAGCTTTGTGAGATGTATTATAGTAGTGCCTTCAAATACCACAGGGACACCATTTGCTGACACAATCGAAAATAAAAAAAAAATTCTGTAACCGGTTTTTAATGCACAAATGGCATCTTGAGTGTGAAGGGATAATATTTTTGGTATATCTAAAATATTTTTTTATTCATATTTATAATGTATTTTGAATACATTACGCGCGTATTTCGAATGCGGCCAAAATAATACAGAATAAATACAAAATGAATATTCGTACTAAATATATTTCAACTTCGTTTGAAGTACGGCCTCTTTTTACTAAGGGAAGGGTGTGTGCTTCAGAGCATGCATCGAAGTGGCAGCGCGAGCTCCCGCTACAAATAGCGTGACCTGAAAACACGATCTACTAAAACTCTCCATTTTCACACAGCGGAGCGACGGCATGAGAGACAAAATGACATGGCGCCCCTTAGTTTACTAGACGAGTGGGGTGCACGTAGCTCGCATTCGAAGGCGTGATGCTTTCTGAAAAGGTTAACTGAGCGAGCGCTGCGCGTGACAGATGTGCATGTTCCATGATATCAACACCCGTGCCCCGATGACACCTGCTACGACTTCCGATGTGGTTCTGTTGCCAGGTGATAGGATTGCCGCCCTGCCTCCACGTTTTCTTGAAATAATGCCATTTTCTTCTCGTCAAAGAGTTCTTATATAGCCGAGAGAATTATTCATTGTTAGACCATGAAGCCGCTTGGTTCCATATGCCCTCTGGCTGTTAAAAAGTGCGTCTGCACGAACGCCTGCGATGAAACTTTGTGCACACTTCTCTACACAAACTTTGCAACAAAATTATTTGGCTCCTTTGCCGACCGAGGAATCACAAGCGTTTAATATAGCAGCTCCATGCATGTATCTACGTGATTCTGCAGTCATTCAATTCAGTTTCTTCATCTTTTAATTTTATATTAAAACAAAAAAAAGGCTTCTTTTGTCGTGTACCCCCCTCTTGTTTTTGCCTAAAAAAGACACTACATATGGATAATAAAGATAGTGTAAGCTTTCCTTCAAGGTAAATTATCAAAGTTCATATTCATACATGGGCTCCGTGTATTATTTGGATGGACGTTAACTGACTTACTTCAAACTTTATCAAGACGCTATTCAATTGTGGTTAAACAATCATGTGCATCGCGAGCGGTGACAAGCGGTGCGATGGACTGCACGTGTCTTCCTCCGCGATGTTCCGCGCGCGATGCATCGCTCGGCGGCGCGACATCCCTCGACTTGCGTGCATTGCTGCTGGGCGGGTGCTGACAGGAAGCATTCACTGCGTTTGATCTCTACGCACCATCAACGATGCGGATTTTGGCAGACTAAAATTCGATTTACCCACAACTCGTGATGATCACCACAAGATAAAGTCTGGGAGAACACAGTCAAAGAGGCCGTTTTTTTTTTCTTCTTAAAGAACTGAAGCTGTGAGTGTCCTTACCGCAGCGACGCCCATGAAGAATCGGACGGCCATGAGCGCCCCGTAGTGGATCCTTGCCGCGAATGGCGTGATGAGCGTCATGGCCGAAGAGACGAGGATTCCGGCCCCGAGGGGGTATTTGCCGCCAACCCTGTCGGCTAGTCGACCTCCCGGAAGCTGTAGCAGTATGTAGCCGTAGAAGAAGGACGCGAGGATCATGCTCTGGACTTGCTCGTCCCAGTCGAAGTCGCCCTCCTGCAACAAGTTCAGGACCGGAAGAAAACCATCTACCGTCATGCACAGCAACGTCGCGAACTCCGACATGGCAAGTCGCCAGTAATCAGCCAGGTCTTAAGGGGCGTTGCCAAATACACGTGGAAAGGCTCTAAATAGGGAAGGCGTCTAGCAGGTATTTTTGTGCGTGATGCTTTACAAGCCAACTACAGGTTCATCCTTTATTGATGCTTGCTGCGGTGTAGATTGTATGGTGCCTACAAAGCATTGTGCTGCCGAAGCGCGGTGGCAGCTGAAGTAAGCAGTAACGGTGTTGTGCTTGACACATGCATACATTTAGTCGTCATTATGTTTTTTTTTTATTTGACCCTGTACGCAAACGAACACTTCTATAGTAGTTTCGTCAAGAAAGCAATCGTTTCCTATCGTGCTCTCTTTTGTTCTTAAATAAAATATAGTCTGTGGCACCACAAGATACCATCTTGGTTAGCGCGGCCAAAAAGACTTATCCGCCGTAATGGCAAGCCAAATTGAAAACATGATATACAGAGTGCCACAATTACGCAAGATAAACAACTTGGAGTGCCGGGTTATGACCATATTCAGCGTTTTGCGTACCTCGTGTTCTTATGGCAGCCACTGCTCAAGCCTGCTATACTTACGGAGAATCTTTGCAAGAGTGCGCGACAAAATTCAGCGTTTGCACATGCAAGAAAGTTTCTGCGCAAGGCAGAAACGGGCGGTCGCCTACCAGCTCCATAGACGTGGCGTTCCTCGCACCGAAGTCGCAGCCAGTCTCGACGGATGTGTTGGCGATCTTCTTCATTCGCACCATGGCAACAATGGCAACGCTCAGGTTGAGCCGCTGCACGTAGAGCTGCACGAGGCCGAAGAACCCGGCCACGGCGAAGGCGTACCGCGCGATGAGAACGTCTGCGAGAATTACACTCGATTATGACGGGAGTCGGCGGGTGTTGGTATCTGGGATCCTCCAACATTCGCAGTCTGACAGGTTTGGTGTCTTCTTCCTGAAGGATGGGTGGATGACTGCATATGGATTCGTGAATTGGGCGGCGGATCGCGCCATCTACGCCTTAAAAATTCAGTTCGTCTGCATTTCCGCCAAACGCATGGGAGGGTCAATCGCTGCACAATATACTAAGAGAGCTTGGCGAATGACGAGGCTGAAAATAGGTTTAGACACAAAAAAAGTCTGCGTTGTGTAACGCTCAACATGACGCAAATACGCAGACCAACCAAAGCTGGTGCAGTCTGGTGACGAAAGCGCGAAACAAAAGAACAATAATAATAATTATATATAAAAAAATGTAGGTGTTACAAGCATGTGCACAAAACACCGAAAGTGTAGGCTTAATAATTTATTGCTTTATTTATTAAAAAAAAATTGCCTTGCATTATTAGAAAAGGAAAAGAAAAAGAGGTTAGAGGATGTTTGATGCGAGGTATGTAAAGAGAATAATACAAAAGTATGAAATAAAAATACAGTTATGACAGGCGTGCGTCGAGTATTTTACAGACAGGCAGAAAACACAAACTTCATCATGTGGAAATAATATAGGTAAGTACGATTCAAGTAGGGTTTCGTGTTTTCGGATAAATCTAAAAAAACACCGAAAAACACCGCCGTTAAAATTTTGGAGAATTCGAATTTACCCAATACACTCAAAATTTCGATATACAACTCCTCTCTCTTTCGAAAAAAAAACGGTATTTTATTTCTTATAATTAAGTTTGATCAGCGCACAGTGGGAATGGTACTCAAAAAAAAAAATGCCACCACAGTTATTTTTTTAAATCTCGGACTATTGTCAAAAGGGATCTTACCGCTCATCCCGTCAGGGTACATTCAGGACATCAGGTCGGGTCACGACAAAAGCCCCGTTTTGGCTTCCAGTCTGGGCCATACTAATTGTTGCTTTTTAGAGGAAGACAAGATGGTGTTTTTGTAACAGTGAAAGCCATGAACCATAGAGATTGCATAAAATAAGGAAGAAAGGGGGTGGGGGCCCCAGTTGAAGCTTCACTATTACATCCTTTATCACTCCACCTCAAGCGACCGCTGCTGAATAGGTTGATGGAATAGGATGGGATGAATACGAGCTTCCTGGCGGCGACTCCTCCAGGAGTTTATTGATTTTAATGTATCGACGTTTCTTGAAGCAACACTTGTGTGCAACTTTTGTAGTGGGGCAAATAGTATTGCAATGGCAATTGCACCAATGCCAAATCCACCTGAAGAAATAATAATTGATACAATCGCGTTTCTTTTAGCTCGAGTTTACACCCGGATATTATTTTTATTTATATATATATATATATATATATAAGAAACTGCAAAATTAAACTCCGAATTTCGGAGAATTGGGAATCAAATAAAAATAAACTTCGATAAACTACGAATTTTTGGCAAAAAATAAACCTAGAAAAACACCCTCCGAATTTTACGAAAAATGAACTCCGAAAACACGGAATCCTATATATATATATATATAAGCTGCCAATGTTGTCTGTGACCATGTGTAATAGATTTCTTTTTTGCTTGGTCTTACTGATAATTTAATTCTGCAGTTTTTTTATTTCAGGTTGCAAAGAACCTTTCAGTCATGTCTGCTAACTGCATTCGTGCTTGTTCCAAAGCCGACTTTGATTGTTTTCACCATGAACTATGGAATTGGATGGACTCGTGCCTTCAGGATTATTTTACTGAGAACCGTTGAAGCGTACTAGGCCCTGTTCAAAGATAAAGTTTCGTGACTGACCTCCAAGTACATTCCTCTTCGCGTTGCTAAATTAAACTTAAAATCACCTTGGTACAATACTACTCAAAAAGACTGTCAAATGAAATAAAATAGTACTTGTTCAAAGCAGCTAGGGCATAGTTGTTCCACAAACGCTGGCAGGTATATAATCGTGAGGCTGATGAATTTAAAATAGCTATCAATGAGTCTAAATAGATATTTTTTCCAGATCAAAATTACCACCCATGTTTATAAACAATCCTAAGCAGTTCTATAGAACATTATCAATCCTGATTATGAGCATAAAATTGAGTGAAGAAATGATGAATGAGAACTATATTTAGGTGAAAATTCTTTTATTCTTCTGAATGAATGTTTTGTGAATGCATTCAGTGATGTACTAAACACATTATTCTGTACTTCCTCATTCAGATTTGTTGCTGATGTTTCCCATTGTATTTGACCCCGCCGGTATAGTTAAGATAATACATAACCAAATTTACAAAGCTGGTGACTGTTTCTCCCCTACAAATTATAGTCCAATCTCACTCAGCAGCATACTCTGTAAAATCAGGGAGAATGTAACTTGATCAAGGCTCTCAATTTTTAACAATTAAACTCCTTGTTTAATCTTCATGGGTATAAATTCCGGAAATTATTCTTCTGTGATACGCAGCTTTCAATTTTCACCCATAACATCCATTCAACCATTCATAAAGTCAATCTGAGATCGGACATATCAGACTGACCGTATCTTCTTGGAATTCTCAAAGGCATTCGATAAAGGTGTCCCACAAACTTCTAGTATACAAGCTCATTGCTCCCAATATTGATCCTAATATTTCATCTTGGTTAGAGCGTTGCCTCACTAACCGATTCCAATTTGTAACGGTAAATTGCAATAACTGTTCATTTCTCACTGTTCATACCGGTTTGCCAGGACTCAGTCCTTGGTCTTCTCTTATTCCTGATCTATATACACGACTTACCAACTCAAGTTTCCTCTTCTATAGACCTATTTGCTGATGACTGCGTCATTTATCATAAAATTACTAAAATTTATGACGTTCACATATTTCAATCAGACTTTCAGGCTATTGTCTCGTGGTGTGATTCTTTGCAAATGAAATCGAACCTAGCAAATGCAAGGCAATGCGAATCTCTCGTAAAATCACAGCCTGTCCTTTTTACCACCTGTCAGATAGTCGTCTTGAAATTGGACCATTTTATAAATACTTAGGTGCCCACATTGCATCTAACTTATCATGGTAAAATTCTACCGAACATGCCATAAACAATAGTAATCGCAAGCTTGATTACATAAGACGGACTTTTTCTTGAACCCCATCTTTTTTTTTAAGTATTACTTTACACATATTTAGTACAAAGTAAATTCGAATATGCATGCTAGTCTGGGATCCTGGTACAGAAGTATCGCATATCAGCTCCTGAAGCCGCTCAAAATCTGTAAGCTCGTTTCATACTCGCTAACTACCATCGTACGTCAAGTGTCACGTCAGTGAAATGTACTCTCATAACCCGTCTTTTCATCCGACGTATAATCTCTCGTTTATGTCGATTTTATAAAATATAATTCCAATCTAAAAGCTCAACTAATTAATAATCCCATCTTCAAATTTTTTTGCCCAGACATAACTGCACAATAGGCATACACACATGTAACACCACTTCTTTCTACAGTTCTTTCGTCGTCAAAACCTGTTGTGGTTGGACCCGTCTCTCCCTTTTATAGCAGATATTTGTGGTTTCAATAGCTTTAAAGCTGCACTAGCTAAATATCATTTTTGTTCTGAGCCTCTATAACAACTTTTCATACGTTTGAATTCCCCGAATCCCCTCCCCTTTCTAAGGCTTCGGCACTGAAGATAAGATAAATAAATAGATAAATAAATAAGGTGAAGCCCTATACAGCATAATTATGACGTTCAAGTATATGTGGCAGTTACAGGGTCGTAGGACAAAACATAGGGATTCATATTCTTGATGGAATACGCACAAACGTCTACAACACTTTAACCATCCTTCCTTTCACTGAATAAGTGGAGACTAGGGTGCCTCAACGTCCTTCTGTTTAGGGTGATGCCATATCCTTTTTAGTACCCGATGCCGACAGCACGCGCTCACTGGAAAAATTCAAAGAAATCGTCGAGAACAAAATGACGCCGTAGCACAGGTCACGCAACGAGCGCGTACAGGGACACGAACTTTCACGCGCTTCCCAACAAAGCGTAAAACTAAGCGTTCGGAACAAAATGGCCAGATGTCATCACCCTAAGCAGAGCGCACATGAAGACACCACCCTAGTCTAGACGTACACGTATAGTACTGGAACTGGAACCATTCATATTTAAGTTGAGCTTTCAGCAACATGCAACTGCACACGATTAACTGAAGTATATCTGTTCAGAGACGGGGGAATTGTCCTCATAGACACTCGACCATAATGGTTATCAGAAACCTATATAACCATTATAGAAAACCATAATGGTTATCAGAAAGTCAGCGGGCGATGGCGCTCGCTGGCGAACAGCAAAATGTGTTCAGTGCATTAATAAAAATCGCTAGAGAGAAATCAAATAGGGAGCGTCGACAACACCGAGTGATTCTCCAGTCCACTACTCTCTCTCTTTCTAAGTAGCAATGCAACTTACCCCTCGCGTTTGCCAAATCGGACATGCCGATTGGAGAAGGGCACCCAGGAAGGCAGAGCTGCGTGTTTCGCTTGAGCGGAGAAAATGAGACGCGATTACACGTTGCTTGAAGAAGGTTAACGATTAGAATTGCAATTACTCGTGACAAAACGCCCCGAGACCGCGGGTAAAAGCGACACATATATTTAGAGGACTTATTAGTGTATATATCGTTTTTTTCCCGCAGACTGGGAAGGTTCTGATGCTTTATATTCACCAGCTCGTTTGCCCCTTTAAATTCAGTTCGTGCAATTACTCTCGCTTAAAAAGTGCTGAATTATATAAATTGGATCATTACTTGAGACGAAAAGTATTTGGCCGTTACTTGCAAAATGTAACCGTTACTGCTCCGCTTACTTGAGATTTTCTAAAGGAGAGAGTCAATTATTGAATTAAATCATCGATTTACGATCTTCTTATTTACTACTTTTGGTAAACCATCCTCCTATCGGAGACTTTGTTTGATGATTCCTTGGTAGGGAACCCTGTACTCTGTTGCCTGGAGCGCGTCTTCGACTGGTGTGCTTAGGCACCCATGCTGCTCATACATCAAAAGTGGTCTTGAAGTGGCAACGAATGACGTTAAAGAAGCCGAAGTGTCATGCTGTAGCCTGTCGCGATCCTGGCGGTTGGTCGTGGAAATGCTCACGAGAAGCTGCGAGTAGCACAACCGAACGCGAGTGTCGCTCTCGTAGCGGCGTCCCAAGTTCTGGCTGCCAAAGCTTCCGCGGACTGCCACACTGGAGAGGGAGCTGCAGCGGGACAGGCGTTTGCCACATGCACCACAGCTGTTGGGACGCCGCCAGGATCGCGACTGGCGACTGCGTGACACTTCTATGTCGCCATCGAACGGAAATCGTGGGATAAATTTTTTTTTGGACGCGGTAAACAGACCAGACGGAGACGCGTTCCGGGCACCATTCATGTAAGAACAAAGGGAACCGTTAGAAAGGGGTTGTGTTTCGCGTTTCATTCTCAAAGTTTCGTAGATTAATGCTCCTTCTTAAGCAATGCCAGCTAAGGAAAAAAAGAAAAAAAATCTACATAGAGGATTGCTTTAACTCGTTGTCCGCGATGATATATTCCTGTATTTTCTTTAATTTGTTTCGTAGCTATTTTGTTTTGTGCCTACCGATTTTCACCGACATATTGCTCTCAGAGCCTATACGAGGCCTGGTGGTGGGCTTGCCCAAGAGAAACAACATTTTTCAAAAGGTTTTAAGTTTTCGACAAAAACACCAAGCCACGCAGGACCGTATGGACAAAAATATCATTATAGACCAACATTCCAAAAAAAAAAAAAAGACTTAGGCGCATGCCGCAACTGTTCCCCAATGTAAAAAAAAAATAATAAAAAAGAGGGACGCTTGTGCTGATTGGCGGCATTTATTTTGCTTTTGTGATTTTGTCACCGGAGCCTCTCATGGGAATCTCATGTTTCATACTCCGTTTCACATTATAGGTCCGACCGCAACCGACGCTACGATTCGATAAGCCAATCAAAAAGCGCCAAATGTGCGTCGTCAGAGATTTTGTCGTTTGTGCGTCACAATCAAGCCGCCAAATGTGCGTTCGCTATCGCCGTTTAAACCAATCACGTAGAGCAAAAAGTGCAGGATTGCGTGGCGTTCACTGCGCTCGGCTGGTGTAGACGGAAACATTATACGTACAAAGAAGACGAGCGAGCGTCGTGACAATTCACCATTGGCCCGGTTTGATTGGCATCCTCAGATGGTATCCCGTTGGCGGCGGTTGGACTTTGTGTGAAACGGAGTTCTTCCAATACTGTAATCGCCTACTGGGCGCTGTCATCCTTGTCTACTGGTCTGTGGAATGCGTTCTCAGCGTTCGCGTAGCTCTCTTCCACGAAAGTATGAGACACCGCGCATGTGCGGTCCCAGCCGAGTGACTCAGCATTTTTCCCCTGGGTGATAAGCGCTGGAAAGGTCTATAGAACGTAAACTAAGTGGATAGGCAAGCTGCTTAAAGGGGCACTGACACATCAAAATCGTAATTTATTTTATTATCCGAAACGATTGAAAACGATGCCGGGACATTACCCTCAAAATTCGAAACTTGGGAATTCAGTATTTGTGAATTAAAAAAACAATTTCCAAATGCCGAATTTGAAGTTCCCGCGCGATCCGCGCCAGCGCAGTGAGTCAAATTTTGCGGTCTCCTGCGACTCGACTTTCTTTCGGACCTCCGCACCACGCTGTGAAGCGAAGCGCCGTTGCTACCGCGACCCGAAGAGAGGAGGAGATGAGCAGGCGGGATACAAGGGAGCCGACGCGGGGAAAAACCGGTCTTCCCCGACTCGGCGATAAGCCTCTGCTCGAGCGCCGCCAAGGTTTCCGAGGGAGAACAAAAATTCAGGAAGCGACATCACACCGAAATCTGATTTTTGGTATTTCAAAAAGAAAGGCCGTAGTGCGTTCGTCATTGCGTTAAAAAACATGTTTTACGATTGCCGTTATTAAATGTTATAGAAATGTCGCCTACAAAGCTTCTAAATTTCCTGATTTTTGACGTCACCGATCAAAAGAAGCAAGGAGGTTAGCGCGGGAAATATAAACGCCAAAAATAAAAAGGCGCGCGCGCGCGCGGGAAAATTTTTTTTCGCGATGCGGTTTTTTTTGCGTGTCTATGACTACAACCTGCATCGTTTTAGACAATAAAAAAGAATACGACCTTTGGGGTGTCAGTGCCCCTTTAAGGATAGATATAGTAACCCTAGAGCCAGGGGACAAAAAGAAAAAGGACGGAGAGACGCGAAACTCCAAGTTTCTTGACTGTCCGTCCTTTTCTTTTCTTTGTGCCCTCGCTCGAGGGTTACTATGTGTATAGAACACATACATTGAACGAACGTGACATCGTTCGATGCCCATATAGATAACTAGGACGGCCATACTATACGCACTCGAGCCTTATCACTGTATGCTCCTGAGCGCCTTCTGAGAGGGGGCTTCTGTTTTCGCAACGCGCATTTCACGATTATCGAGATTTGTCTATTCCAGCAGCCGATAAGGGACTGCCGTTGTCAGCAAGCGCTTTCCGACACCAAATGTGTGCGCTTGTGAGTATTATTTACTCGCGTCTGTAGTTACGAGGCACACGAGGAGCAGAATGATGTACGCAATACACCATTTCAATATCTACGAGTCCTCAGCCCAGTGTGCGATCTCCTCATCAGCCAGCACGCGCTTGTTCGTCGCTTCGGAAAGCGGGCAAATCATGCTGCATACGCACGAACACTGAACATGGAACTGGTTATGAGCCCTTTTTGAGAAAGGTCTATTGGCGGCGAGATGTTTTAATGGCGCCCACCTATGGTTCCCTCTTGTGACGTCATTATCTTGCGAACAACAAGTTAGATGATGTTTGAAATGAGCGTGGTGGAAGCTTAAAATCATTGGGCTCTAAAACCAGCACTTCCAAAACATAAAAATTTAAAGTTCTGACTTCACTTTTACATCCATTGATGGGAAATCGATTGCTGAGGTTTTCGGCCATTCGTGGAAAACCGATCACACCGATGCTTTTGATTGCTCACGTCGCCATACGCGTGCAACCTCATGCAGCGAGCGTGTGAACATAGCCTCGACAAGCTTGTACTTGCACGGGCTTTTCCGCACGAGCAGAGACGTGGCGGCGGCCGGTCGCCACGCTTGTTTTCACCCACGTCCTTTCGTCCACCATTTTGTTGTTATGTATAGTCTGGCGCGCGCAGAAAACGAGCACTCCGAAGATTCACATCACCCCCTCAAAATGATAGTGTACAAAAGGTTATGTTTTGTCACGCTGACATCTAAAAACAATATGGCGCACTGACGTCATATGAACACATCCAATTCGCGACTCCAACGGTTTATAGGTGGCGCCACTCGATTTTCCAAAATGGCGGTTATAGTGAGGGTCGGAGACGCGTGCTGGTGGTATACCGGTTGCTGAGCCTCTCTAGTGTGGTAGTTTTACTAAGCGACACAAATGATTCCCGCTTATCCGAGGAAGAGCGACGTGCACGATCAAAAGCGTCGCTGTGGTCGGCCTTCCACGATTCGTCGAATGCTGGCTATGACGTCAGCAAAGGTTTTGTCATATACGGAAATAAGAGTTATGTAAGAACTTCCACTTTGAAGGTGTTGGCAGTGTTGGTTTCAGAGCGCTGTGATTCCAAGCTTCCACCGTGCTCATTACAAACACCATCGAACTTGTTGTTGGCAAGGTAATGACGTCACGAGAGGGAACCACACGGGGCCCCACCGAACATCTCGCCGCTAATGGGGTATCCACACGAAGGAGAAATCTGCCCCTTTGCTCCACGGAGCGCGCATCACGTGAGACATACGTCATCCCTTTTGGCGCTTCGCGGCGCCGTTCTCCTCCGTGGTGGAGGCGCGGAGGCTTCGTGCTGTCAGCACGAAAGCTCCCCAGGTGCACGCGGCGGAGCCGTGGACGGAGTTTCCCGGGTTGTTGACGTCACGACATCCGTCCGCGGAGTTCTCCTTCGTGTGGATACCGCTTTAAGGGGTATCCACTCGAAGGAGAAATCCGCCCCTTTCCTCCGCGGAGCGCGCATCACGTGAGACATACGTCATCCCTTTCTGGTATCCACACGAAGGAGAACTCCGCGGACGGATGTCGTGACGTCAACAATCCGGGAAACTCCGTCCCCGGCTCCGCCGCGTGCACCTGCGGAGCTTTCGTGCTGACAGCACGAAGCCTCCGCGCCTCCGCCACGGAGGAGAACGGCGCCGCGAGTCGTCAAAAAGGGATGACGTATGTCTCACGTGATGGGCGCTCCGCGGAGGAAAGAAGCGGATTTCTCCTTCGTGTAGATACCCCATAATACGCGCAGGTCACCTCTTTATTCTTAGAACAAAAACAATGTTTAGCATAGAAAGCCTGATTCACATGATGTGATTTTACTTGCGATTTCGCTGTTGAGACGCCGCTCGTGCGACAAAAAAGAACGTGCGGGAGGCTGCGGTGCTCAACGCCGCAGCTGCAAAACCGCAAGAAAATTCGCACCACGTGATTCCGCCTTTACGCCACTAGGCACGTTTTTAACCTCTATTGTTTTATTTAATTTTCTCGATATAGGTGTTAATTTGGGTTTGCATAATTCATGGTGTATCTGACAGCGTAATTATTGACCTAAAGAAATTGTTCGAGGAAACTTTATTTTATGACATACGCGTCTGATCAGGGCACATCATAATATTGTGGAGCGTTCAGCGTCCCTTTAAAGACAGGGTCTTTATACACTTTGAAGGTAAAAGAATAATATAGTGTTGGTTGAAAAAATCAACGCTGATATTTGTGTGGTCTTGCTGCTTTTTCTTACTCAGATAATTGTCATGTGAAATAATGAACTGCGGGCCCTTTAATGGGTTCTTGGGCATTTACATAATAAATTGCTTTAGCGTTATTCCCAGCACAATAATAACAAAACAAATCAAAATTTTACGAACTATCACCACGGGTCATGGTCTTAGAATATGTTTACTAAAGGTATAAATTAAGAAACGCTACAGAAAAAAAAGGAATCCAAGTAAGACAACAGAAGTCTGTATTTTTAAGGCAACCGGTTACACATCTTATATTGCATTCAGTGTTTATGTGTATCTTGATAACGATATTAGAGCTTTTCATATGCTAAAGAGAAAACAAGACGAGGCCTCTTTGTAAAGACTATTGGTTAAATGGCGCATTTTTGTAATTGCGGCGTTTATCGGGGGTCTAATCACAGCAATTTGTATTACTAATAATAATAAAATTAAAATATTTTGTTACGAAGTTTTCTCAGCTCTCATTTAATTTGTTGCTAATAATCTAAGTTCAAACGGGCTGACGAATATGGCACTCTAAAGTTGGCAAATTATCGTCACTGGTGCCAATTTCAGCTTTTGTAAATAACATGTTATAGAATAAACACAGTCTAAAATCAATTAAAACATTCTAGCTAGTCTGAAAATCCATGTAAAATTACATTAATCGTGGGGAAAACATGATGCCATTAAAGTCTCGACTTTTGGCAATCGTGAAACATTCCAAATTCGCCTCCAGTCCATCCAGTACAAGATGCACCCCCCCGGCACCCCTAAAAAAAAAAAAAAAAAAAAAAAAAAAAACAATAAAGTAATTTTTTTTTTTGTTTTAACAAAACTTTTTAGAACATTTGATATCTTTTAATGTCAACGCGCCGTCGTTTTGCCAATCTCAGCTTTTCCAGTTCGAAGGAACTCACTGCAGTACTCTTCGTTGGCGTTGGAAAACCAGTGTAACAGTACTGTGTTTTAGTATTGCGTATTCGAGCGAACGCAAGCACTTTGCATTTCCGTTAGCGTTGCGCGTTCCACACTACGCGTGCGCGGAGCCCAAAATTCCGGTTATGGATTGGACCACGGTGAAGACTCGCGTACGCAGCGTGGAGCACGCAACTTTAATTCAAACGCATAGCGCTCGCGTTTGCTTCTGTACGCAATACTAAAACTTTCAAGTAAGGTGCAAGTCTGCACCTTACTTGAAAGGTAGCCCGCCCTCCTTGCTTTGAGACATGCATTTCTAGCCCGAACGCTCGTTCTGCAGGAGAACGCGTCAAGGCAGCGACCTCGAGCCCTCGTGCTTGTGGCATTGACAGCAGTCTCAGCTTTAAGTCGGGGTCACATGCTCATACATGGTGTAAAAGACACTCTGCACACACTAGTCACCGAAATATCCGTGGTTTGAATGCCGCTTGAGAAAGTTTTCTCCTTGAACTCATTGCCATGCGGCATTCGAAGCACGGATCTCCCGGCGACTCGCGTTCCAATCTGTGTGCAGACTGTCTTTTGTATGATGTAGCAGTGTGGCCCCGGCTTAAGAGTGGACAGAGTATACATTGGCAAGGTGAAGCGTGTTGTTTGCATTCAGAAATGATACGAGCTATGATCGCGAGCAGTTCCGCCGTGTCCGATGAGCAGTAGTAGTTGGGAACCTCCACTAGAGAGCGTCCCACTTCCGCCGTTAGAGGGCGAGCAACGAACTATACTCCGTTTCACCTTCAGTCCGAGCGCAGCGGACACTAGGAGTAATCCCAGCCAATCCAGCGTGGGGAGAGTGTCATGTGACCTTGAGCTCCCTGTGTCCCTCTGCCCAACCGGCAGGTCACGCGATTTTCTCCCGGCGCTGGATCGGCTGGGATGGCCTGTGGCGTTCACTGCGCTCAGACTGAAGGTGGAACGGAGTATAGTGACATTTATTGCTTCTGGGCGCGTGCTGACAACGAGCTTTAACAAAGCTTTCAAAATGTGCGCTTCTTGGCAGACAATAACCTGTGATAACGCGCAGAGTACGCGCTTTGCAACAGTTGACCGATCGATGACCACCAAGCAGATATACCAACTATACTTCGTTTCCAGACACAGCCGACGCTACGGCTGACGGGACCAATCAGAGGGCGTCAAAACCGCACCATCATGATGCTCGCTATGTTTACGTGCGTCTTCTATCATCGCTGGACCAATCATGTATACATTGCTTGCAAGTGTCGCCATTGCTGGGTACTGACGGTAATCTCTTCTTACTGGTTACTTCGGACTACAATCTCTGCGGTGTTAAACTAACACGGTGAACCTAACGCTCGCGGCGCGTAAGATGCTGGCATGACCGCGAATGACGTCACATGTAAACTATGTACAGGGAAGGCCTAGCGACTTTTGACGCTGATTGGTGCCATTAGTCCTATGGCGTCGTCTGTGTCTGAACTTCAGCAGAAATGAAGTATAGCTGCCTTAGTATCGGCTGCATTAGGTCGGATTAAACATGCAGCAGCAGTGTGTTTTGTGACGCGGCCTATCACCTCTATACCCCTATCAGGCCTTTCTTACTTCAGAACGATTTCATATTTCGGTATAATGAATCTAGATGATTGCAACATATGGACGGCTGTAGCTTTCGCGAACAAAGTAACGTCTCCTCATCTGCGCTCACCTGATGCGATGTGACCTTCACGACTGTTGTTGTTGCGTTTATGAAGCTGTGTCGAGCGTGGCATACGTCTTCCGCGGCATAGAACGATTCATAACGTTTTCTTCTAACACGTGCCTGAGGGTCACGAGAGGCCTATTAATGAAACAAAGATCGCTGTAGTTCTTAAGAACACTTTTAAATAATATAAAAACGCACATTTTTTATTCTATACAGTCTCATTCAAATATCAGTGTTGAAAAAGGAATTTCCTGGATGGCTGCACCCCAGACAAAGAAGAAAAAAGTGTTCGGCGGCTGACCACGCCGAACACACGAAAAGATCAGACTTCTTTCTAGCGAACTCCAGCGAAATAGACCCCTTTCGGAAGTCACGCGCCGATTATTAGAGTGTCATGGCCATTTCACTGTGGCGGAACACCTGGCATCGTGAAACGTGCAACTTATTCCATAAGGTAGCGAACGTCAGAGCGCGCCCAACGCTAGACTGCTAGGAGCCGACAAGCCGAGACGTTGAGGTCTTAATCCGCCATTGTGCAGGGATTCCACAGCTGCCAACAGAGGCAGTCTTTCGAAAGGGGTCTTGTAGAACCTTCTCGAAATTCAGTCTGGCCACTTTGATTACTATCATCATCTGAGGGATGGCATCCTCGGAGATTTTCTCACACTGGCTGCGCTTCTCAGGCGGTAGAGACTTCGCGCGGTAGAGACTGTTACTGCGGGGTGCTTGGTGGCGCTTGCAACCAAACCGAAAAAAAAAACAAGAAAAAATAAGAGTCAAAACGCAGGCGAGCTGGTGAACAATCACAATTAAGAAATAATACCTTGAGACAAGGAAACAAAAAGGGACATACACACCACCGTCTCAAAACCAGCACAGCATACAGCTGTCATTTACTTCCATTTACTTAATTTACTCTTAAAGGGACCATGAAATGACTTTTTTACTTTTTCCAGATAAGTTTTACAATAAACCGTCAATGTTCACTGAATGCCGAACAGGCATCCGTTTTCGTTTCGGTTTATTAACTTCTACACAAAAAATTAATGAAATATCGACTTTTTCTTGACCGCAAAACAAGCCGTGACGTACGCTGTTTCCGGAACCGGAAGTTCTCTCGGCAGTAGGAGATGGGAGCGTTAGCGAGTTGGGGTGCGCCGGTGGGTTTTACTGCGCCGATGTCACCGACGTATTTCTGAATCGGCGCCTCTCATCGCCGCATCGCAGCTGAGCGAAATTCAATGAGATACGTTGCGCTACAGCGACAGCATGGGACTAGTCCCATACGCCGGTATGCCTGTTGGGAAGTGCAGATGGAAACAAATTGCCGCGGCGTTTTTCGCGGTCTCGGAGATGCAGGAGCAAGCCGACGTTAAAAAAGATACGTTTGAACTACGAGTGTCAGCAAGAGCCACGTAAATACCTGTTCACACTCGGAGCGGACGCGCGCGTTTGATGAAGTGCTGTATTCGCGCTGTTGGTAAGCGCTTCGGGACCGATCTTTTACGATTGCAACTCGATACTGACGCGACACTCGGCAAAGAAAGTTTGGACCGGTATTGCACGTATACCTCCCACGAACTGTTACAGCTCGACAGTGACGTGCAGTCTGTCAGAATAAAAATGGCATACCAATAACAAAGTGTACATACCGTGCTACGAAGGTAATCCATACAGAGTTTATTTGAGCTCTATATCACACAAAACAAGGAGAGAATCGACGAGGGTCCCTTTTCGACGAGAGTTCGTCAACGCTGCCTCGGAAAACAAGGGGAAGAGATTGACCTTATACCTCTTAACCTAAAACTGAGGTCAGCGATCAAACTATAATACGGAAGGGTCCACAAGGGTAGCGCGGGCATATTCCATTCAGTACGCCAGCCGGTCGTAGGCAGACAGACGGTCTTGCGACGAAGCAACGCTGCGCCGAGTCGTAGTGCCTGCTAGGCCTATATTCTGAGAGCTTCGTCGGAGCGGGATTCGCGGCTGTTGTCGCTCTTCTCGGGTGTTTGTGGATCCAGCGTTCTTGTTCGTCGTGGTTTGTTTTAAGTACATTTTTTTCTTGATGCTTGAAGTTGGCACGCGCGAGATGAACACGTAGAAAAATAAACGTTCAGTCAGTCAGAGTTCTGAGAGGAAGGAGACGAAAGGAAATAACCGTTCTGAAGTCGGCCCTGCCCTACTGCGCGCGCGAAGTAGTTGCTTCGTTTACCACACGATAGATGGCGCTTGGCTCTCAGCATTATCAAATTTGGCAATTTTCGCCACACATCTCTAATTATGCTACAAAATGTGGATCTGAATATTATTTAACAAAACTTTTAGGAAACATTCGCCGGCTATTTATTGTTTACGATCGCGGTGCTGGTGAGGTAGGCTCTTACCCAATAGGCGATGTGGATTCGGCTGACGTGCACCGTTTCTGCGGATGCATCGTAGTGAAAAGGCAGAGCTTTCGAAGGAAAGAAGTCGCAAAAGAGTCCAGTTTTCTTTTAAAAGTTCTATAGCAAATAATTTTTTTTGGCTCCCTAGTTTTGTGTTTTTGTGTTTCTTTTCACACCTTTTACGACGTGCGGTGGATGAAATTCGATTTTAAAATCATTTCATGGTCCCTTTAAATTGTCATTTACTACCATTTACTTTATTTACTAATTGTTGAATTGTCATTTACTGTCATTTACTTCATTTGCTGCTGAATCTGTATAATTAGGATGGACGTTGGCAAAGAAGAAGACTGTTCTGGAAGTAAATGAGAGCAGTACGCTGGGCTGGTTTTGAGACGGTGATGTGTAAGTCCCTTTTTGTTTCCATGTCTCAAGGTTTTATTTCTTAATTATGACAAAAATAGACTCGAATTATCATCATCACCAATGACGTCGGTCTACGAAACTTTAGAGCAGCGCGAAATCTGCTCCCCGCATCCCACTGCAACACACAGACCTTTGGCAAGGAAGGAGTTCACCGAAATTTGAAGGCGCATCTTTTAGAAGCGCGAAAGGTGTAGAAAAAAATGCCCACGATATTGTGTTTAAATAAACTGCGCGTCTGATAATTTCAGTAAACAACAGGAAGTTGAGTCCATCAAAATTAGGAAGGCGAGTCGAAGATTAGGCACCCATGACAGTGCACCCATACTACGAGACCACGACCACGCACCCACGACCACAAGAAAGGCGAACACGAGGTCGTGTTCGCGCCACTGATCATAGTGATCAGTGATTCGCTCTAAATAGTGATAGTGATAGTGATTTATTTCGACTCAGGAGTGCCGCGGCGCCGCAGAAAGGCAAGTCGTCCATACCGTAAAGACCCACTGCGCCGCGTCCAACGACGATGAGATGGTATTGCACAGGTGAATTTTTACAAGAAATGGTGATGATGGTTTAAATGGAGCTTGTGGACGAGGGTGAAGGGTTGATGTTGCGGTGAAAGAGGGTAAGGAGCGTTAGGTTTGCAGCGATCCTCTTGACAATGGTCTCCATAAGGCTGCTCACTCCTAGCAGGCCGGTCTCGAACCCCCGGCGAGCACTCCTGCATGCCCGGCTCGCAGACGAGCCACCCGAATTTCCGACGACGCAGCTAGTCCGGCACCCCCGTGGTGGGCCTCCAGGGATTGACGCCGGTGTTGGCCGGGCGGTCTTTGCGAAAGCGGACTCTGAAATCTCCCAGCTTGCGGTCGAACTTGTAACCGAGCAGTGTGACCACCCTGTCGATTGAAGAGATGGTGTATGCCACTGGTTCGGCTGGCTCTCTCACGATAAAAAAAAAAAAAAAACACGCCTTACGCCCAGCTGGCTTCCTATTTGTTCGATCTTTCATTCTGAGCTATCAACCAGCGAAACGGCGCAAAGACCGGAGCAGCGAATAAAAAATACGATCCAACAGAGATCGACTCACCTTTCCCTATTCTGATGATGAGAACAATGAAGATACAAGCGCTTCATGCCGCGGGCTATTGCCGCGGGCTCACGGCTTTGGCTGTAGAGTTCCGGGTAGCGGAGGGGCTTAGCGGAGGGGGAAACACGGTCTACTAAAACTCGCTACTACTGCGTGGTGCGCGTTAAAGACCCCAGGCTAGCGGTTCTACCGCACTGGCTATATTGCTTATCTACAGCTGGGAGACAAGTCGCCCATTGAGGCAGACTAAGTTCTAGGCTGTATAAACATGCGCACACCCCAATTTTTTTCTTAAACGAATTAGGCTAAAAAAAATTCCGAAGACACTTAAGCACTTCTTATGAGTTGTGAATTCGAAAGCATGAATGTCGTTCTTCCGCTCTCTTACTTCATCTGCGGTGCACTGGCGTGGACGGCCACGTCTCGCTACTGCCGAGGTTGCGGTCGGCGGCCAATGGCCCAGCGCGCGCTCTCGTGAAGCGGCCGCCAATGGCTATTTAGGAGCCGTTTTGCTCAGCCAATAGGAGGATGGGCATCTTTTGTGTGTGTTTTTTTTTTCGGTTACAGACGCCCCCGGCTCCGCTCAATGGGATAGTTAATGCTCTCGCATTAAAACACGCGATGAAAAGCGCCATTCCCTTCCATGTCTCATCACCACGGTCCCACAGTTCAGCACTCGCGTGCACATGGCTCGAAGAAGCGAGCAAAGCACACGCTGTATGCACGAACGCTGAAAATGGCACAGGTCAGAAACTTTTTTTTTTAAGTAACCTATACTCGTGGACACTTTCTGTGACATTTCGAAAGAAGTAAAGAGTGTGTGTGCATCGCTCTGATGGGCGCTACAAGTGCTCAAGGGCCCGTTGTCCTTTGACTGCATAGCCACGAAAAAAGCTGTCCACGAGTATAGTGTATGCAGCCACTGATGCAGCACTAGGAAAAGCACGGGTGCGAAAACGTATACTTTTATTTGATACGGTATGAGTTCAGTGCCGGTTAAACCTTTCTTTCCCATCTGTATGTTCCGGGTCTAGTCCCGGAACTTCGGCAGGGGTAACTATATTGAGGTAGCATTATGCTAACTTTCTTTAATGGATACTGCGAGATGAACGCTAAAGAGAACAGATAAACACACGCACGGCCCTGCCTAAAATCGCACCGGCATCTCGTGGGCTTCGTGTGTGCACACGGAGCCAAAGTATACGTGCGATGAAGGGCAACAGTTGCTGGAGGTCGGGAGTCTGAAAGAAACGCCGTCTTGTCCTCATCCTTTGAGTTACTCATGTCAGTGATTTGTCGACAAGTTTAGCACCTCCAACAATGTGTTTAGGCGTAAAATAAATTACCACCTATTTACTGCTACTGAATAGGTGCCGCGCCGTTGAGCGGTTCTGAGTGGCCATCACTTGCAGACTTATCGCGACTCCAGAATTGAAGTTTCAGCTTAGCATCGTAGCAAACAGAATAAAACTTTTTATAAAAGACTATGCTACGTGCCATTTGAAAGTTGTAGCAGATTGTGCTTTTGCAGAACAATGCCGGTAACTGAAGTTGTTGCTGCCATTATGGAACATACGGTTCGAAGCGCGATCGAGCTCCGAATCATCTTACTACAGTCGTTAACGCTTAATATAAAGCTCAGAGACGACTACTTACTACTCATTACTTCTAAGTAATAATGTTTTCACGCTTTCAGTGAATCATCGACATGTCTTCGTGTAGACTACGCGCAACAAAATAAAGTAGAAGGTCAACAAAAAAATTATTTTATTTTAGGTATGTACTCAAGAAAACAACATTGGAGCCGATAGATAAATTTGTTATAATATTTAACAACAATATATTACCAATATATCTAACCACATCGTAACATCTCCCTACGAACATTACGGACAACGTATCTAAACACTCAGCAAAAATTGAAATGACAAGCGAATTGTACAAGCGTTGGAAAAATATTCGAAATAAGAAAATATACATCTACGCGTATGTACAATGTCATGGGCTGTGTATACTTGTCCCACGCGAACATATCTGTACACGATGATTGGTCAGCAGAGCAACCTTATCACAAAACACGACGAAATTCTAAAAGCATAAATGTATATCCCGAAGTAACAAGTCTGGCTTCCGGCTCAACTCCTAGCCAACAAGATGCTTACTAGAACAACCCAAGCCTTCTTCTTTCGCAGTCTAAACACTTACACTTACAGGTGTCGGTACTGACACTACGGACACTTGCAGGTGACCGTAAACTTTTACCCAAAAATAATAGCCTAATACATGCTATAATATCTGTACTACACTGATAAATGGTATAGATATCGAAGAGTTAACTGCACAATGTGATACATATTACAAAAGAAACCTGTAATCATTCATTCTGTTAAGTTCATTGATCTGGGTATGAGGTTAATTTGTGCACAGGAACTTATGAATCCGTGATACTCAAATTTGTGAAACTGAGATCGGGTGACAATTTGAACAAGCAGAACACATTTAGACTTTGATTTGCATTTTTTGACATCAGTGTCCCCTACCAGGGTCTCGGTATAATTCTTTCCAAAAACCAATGTAAAGTTGTCCGAACGCCCACACAAATATTTGCTACACAATCTGCACAATGACACAGAAGATAGTCACTGAAACAAGTAAACGTTACAAGTTACCGTTCCGCTGTCCCTTGCGTGTGGTCGGGAAAATAAAACCTATTTGGGCAAATTCGAAACATAAATACCGACATTTCTAAAAAGATTCAAAACACATCTGCGATAGCTACTTTTGTATGAAACCTCAGGCGCAGCTTTTAAGGCTCAAGAATTATCTGATCGTGAGCACTGATGAGACGAAGCTTACAATGCTTTCTTGTTCTTTTTAATGCTTCGTAGATATTAAAGACAAAGCGCTATCGAAAGTTAAGGACGATGCACTATATCGCCGCGTAAAATGATATTTAAATCATTTTCGAGACTTTTGGGATAAGCTTAGCAGACAGTTAATCTCCTTACGTCGAGCAGACACCATTTCTTTTTCAAATCTTTCCTTCAAGACTGAGAAGGGTAGTGATGGAACGCCATCGACAGCTTACTAAACGGTTCCCTAAACGTTCTTATCGTAACTTATCGTAAGGATTATTAGAAAAAGAGTTTGCTGTCCCCTCAGAAGTATCCTTTTCGTGCGATGCTAGAGGGAAGGCAAGCACAACGCAAGATTTCTAAGCTGCTGAGCTTTCTTCCCATTCGTTGTTTCGGCGAAGCCTACACATGCTCAACTCAGACGTATTCTTTGGGAATGTAACCGCCAAAAACCGGTCTAGCGGTCTTCGTCCACTGCCAGGGTAAGAAAGACGGGGCGTCGTCTCCTTCGAATGCCCGGCGTTCAGCTCGCGGTCGTTGCTTTCCGTCGTGCTTCGGCTGCGCGTCCACGCTCGAGGCTCGCGAGGCGCCCAAGTGTCAACAAAGGTGACACTTTGATAATAACACTTTGGCGGGACAACTAAACAACCTCTCTGCCGTTCTCACCCTGCCAGAAACTATGGGTGCTGCTATCAATACCAACGTTGGTTGATCTATACAGCCGAGTGCGCGCGACATCCGTTTAGAGCCGGGACACGCGCACGTCGTCGAAGGACTTGCGCTTCTCTTCTGGAGTTGCTGGCTTCTTTTCCTCTTTTTCCCCGGGAGTGGATCCCCAAGGCTGCAGCTCGGCGGTGCCGAAGATTACGAACGCCGCAGCGCAAAATACGCCGACTGCGCATGCGATGTAGTAGAAGTAGCTCCACGTCCGGATGGAGTTCTGAAACGAATCCACGTGCTTCAGGCTCAGAAGGTGACTCTGACTCCGTTAGTTACTAGAATTCGTTAACTCACTATCTCACTTGAGTCGTCAACATAACTGCTACGAATTACGCCGATGACGCCCGGAAAACGATCTCGTGACATAGTAATGCAAGTAGCAAGTGTCCGAAAAAGCGTATTTTGCATCATTGGAACGCAAGGAAAGCACGGTGAAGAGAACACCAAGTGTGCGACGTCATCGGCTGAGGCCCAGGGGGGGGGGGGGGGGAGCGGGGGGGGGGGGGGGGACAAAAGCACGCGCGCACATCCGGAGAGTAGACAAACGCACGAGATGCGTAAAGAGCACGCCAACTTGCACACCGTAGAGCGACGATCGCTGATGCTGGCGTCGATTATTATAATGATGTTCGTTGTGATGACGACGATTATCATGGTAAGGACCAGTGCAAAGGCAGCCGGAGTGGCAACGTCGACGATACTGCTGACGCTGCCTACAATCGCAGTGGTGTCGACAATAATGGCCAGTCTAAATGAATGTTCATCAGAGTGATCCACGTGCTTCTATTACGTGATTAAAGTCGGTGACAGGTTAGGAGCCCGATAGAGGGCCCAACCTTCAGCAGGCGCGATCGTTGCTTTCCTCCATGGCTAGCGCTGGAGACCGAACATCGACCGAGATCTTAACCTGTCACTGATTATGATAGTCACTATACAAACCGAATATTCACGCAGGCTACAATATCGATCTCTAAAGCCGCGGTCATACTGACATCGTGCAAACGACAGCCTGCAGCAGACACCTGTCCGATGCACGTTTCTTCCTTGCATGAAGATTATGTCATATCACCCATAAAACTGAAAACCGTTTTGCAGACATGTGCGAAGCACACATATGTATGCAGCCGACGTGCTTCGAAGATGCACATAAGTCTGCCATCGTGTCTGCAGGTTACATCATGTCCTTTGTATGATGTATACGAGCGGTTTGATTGCGTCTCAAGGAATGGACTCCGTGGGGCGAATACGCGACGACAAAAAACGGACGAACTTTGCCAGGCGGCATAGGTTTGCTCTGCGCGCAGCACCCAATAGCAGCCGCTCTTCTCACTTAACGCGCCGAGAGAACGCTGCGGGGCAAAATTTGCTGCGTCATGGGGGTCTGCGTCATAAGGGGACGACGTCAAAAAAAAACAAAAAAAACATTCAAACTTCGTCAGCGGTATACCGTCACGCACCTCTTCCTGGGTGAGGACGCCCGCAACGTAGGGCATCAGAAACCCGGGCAGATTGCCGATCGTGTTCGTCACCCCGAGCAGAGTACCTGGAAAAAGAGTTTGCTCGCATTAGAAGGCGGGCAAAACGCCGAAATGCATTATCGTAGAGAGGCCGCCGTCGTCGTCGTCTCTGCTTACGGTCGAACAAAACTGTGTTTTTTATCGACGAATGAAGTTCGGAAAAACAAGCAAAGGACCTTTCGATCGCTCACGAATAGTGGAGTAAGCCTGCTTTGAAAATTTAATGCTGGACGCCAGAATACACTGAAAGACATTGATTTCAAAAGAAGACATGTGTAACGACCCGTGATAATCGTAGCAATATTCGTATCCTCCGTCTTCGCATAAATGCTTAATAACTACTGCTTCGGAAAAAAAAAAGTCTAGACTTTAGTTTGGAAGGATCTGTCTTATAATATTCACAAGCTTTTTGTCTGAATATATAAGCAAGCAACTATTAACTGAAATGAAATAAAAACATTTCGACCATTAAAGAAAGCATCTGTGGGCGTATACGTTCCTCCTATAAATTATCTGAGTCTCAAATTTTACACAAAAAAACAAACAAACAATAAAAACAACAAAAAACTAGTTTCAGTATGTGACCTCACTTTTGTCACCTTTTTTTTTTCTCTTATATCTCCAAACCTCGGAGTATATGAGCAATAAATCACAAAAACGTTCACACATTTCCGTTTACCAATATAAGTAGAGTAACATAGCCAAGGGGATGACTCAAGTAACGCCAGTGTATCCCAAAAATGGACCCCTATCGTTTTAAATATGTTGGTGCCTCACATGAAACAATATACGCTACTCGCGTTTTTTTTTCTTTTTCAATCACGTTCAATAACGTCATATAACACACGCGAGCAGCGTATTCTTCGTCGCATAGTCACCCACATTGAAATTCCTATGATGCTCGTGCGTCACTTGAACCATCCCTGTGGTAACTGTCCCCTCGGCGACCACACTTAGCAACACTCGGACGAGAAAAAAAGTTGCTACAATAGGGGAAGTCAGCCGCCTGTTTGCGGCACACATCTGAGTAGCCTCGTTTCGCCCTCTGATTCGCTCAAGGGCCAATGCACACAGATGGCGACTGTCCCAGGAGGAACAAGCGGAAGCGCATCGATCAAAAAGGACGGCTCAAGTGACGCCGATACTTACCGGCGAAATCGGGTGACATGTCGATGTGGGTGACCATGAAGCCCACTTCACGGACCCCGAGCGCGGCCCCGGCCAAGCTGAGAAGGGCTACGGACCAGACGCGGTCGCAGCCGGCGAAGGGCATGCCGATCAGAAGAGCAGCGGGAATCACGGCCGCTGGAAGGAGGTCGTTCGTCTTCAGTTCATCGCAAGTTCGCAACCCAGTATTAAGCCCGCGTACGCGTAGGTTGTTAGAGAGCTTTAGAACATGTGGCCCCGATGCTCTTGGGTCCCCTGAGGAGTATGGGTAATCGCACTGCGCAGGCGCACAAGTTATGCGCGTGCTCAGTGCAACACTCAAGCTCCTCGAGGCCCCTATTCTAAAACTTTGTATTTTCAGACGCACCCCCCACACTTATCATGCTGGGTTAGTGTCAGTCCACATGGTATACGCTTCTAAGTGACGACACTTCATTCGTAATGCTGCTTAAAACAGTTATTGCCAGTTGTTTGGTACTCCACAGGAAACCCTTTTCCGTACCTCAGAAAAGTTGAAAAAAGTTCACCACAAGGCAAAACAAAAATGCCTCAGTTTTTTCATGCTGTGTCAGAAGCTTATGAAGTCGCATTTTCGATTTGTAAGGCGCCGTTCACGCACTTGCAACCGAATAGGACGGAGAGAGACAAGCTCGGTTTTTAATCCTCTTCCGACTGCGCAGGACCAGATGCGCTGCTGCGGAGCAGGTCCTACGCCGTTGCAAGAGGCATTAAAACCGGTCTCGTCTCTCTTAGTCCTACTCGGTTGCAAGTGTGTGAACGGAGCTTAATGGTCGGCAATCGTACCCGCAATTGCCCCACACTCAGTACAAAATTGCGGCACACGCAAGAGTATCGCGGAATAGAGTTTTTCTGCGATGCAATCTGTCACGATACACGTGATCACTTGTTTCGCTAGCAATCGCAGTGACAGGAAATGTATCATGTCTTGAGAACAAAATCCCTTGAAGAATCAGGGTACCAGCGCACGCACATGGGCATGGACATGGTCAAGATAGCCATCTGATTAGCCGATTCTTTAACTAATCGACGAATCAGTATTAGGTCGTTCCGAAGCCCTTTCAAGTGTTCGTGGAACAGGAGTGCGCACTGAACTTTCGAAGGCGTTCAGATCTGAAGGCCATTTTAAAATCTGCGAGCAAGTGCTCTAACAACCCCCTTTGGTGCATCGGAATGCAAGGAGGGCCACACCAATCAGAGGCACGCGGGCGTACTTGGGAGGAAGGGGGGGGGGGGGGGGGGGGGGGAGGGGGGGGGGGTAAACAAACGCACGTGGTGCGCAAGGGGCACACAAACTTTATAGACCCTTTTGCTGTTTACAAATTTGAAGTACCGCTTGTGTCCCAAGCGACTTCCAGTCGCACCGTCTTGCGAGCCTGTTGAGCTTGCTTATGTCATCAGTGCTAGAAAGCGTAAATGCTACACGGACAACAAAGCTGGATATTTAACGAGAGCCTTCGGCTGTACGATATTACTTCTTGGAGGAGGCAAGTTGGTTTACAAGAATACTCGAAACGTTTTAACAGATCTCGCATTCCGAATTCGTTCTTTTGGCGTTCAGCTGGAGAATCGGTGGTTCAACGCTTCATCTACATTTCAAGCAGCGTGGCTAGGTGGCCCTTGTTCATTCTTTTATATATAAACCGGAAGTTCTCTGGGACGTCAAAGACTGGAGCACCACCTGGTGGCATTTGCCCTAAAAAGGGTCTACATTGTGATTCAAGGAGAGGCCAGGCTCCTTAAATCGGCCGCAAAATTCGGTTTCTTAACCTATCGCGCTACGACTTTGTGCAACCTTGCCCACAGATGGTGCTTTTTTTTTTTGTGAAATTTGCAAAGAGCAAACTTACCTGAGGAAAAAGTAAAGAAATAAAAAGGCTTAGTTCCTATGGAAACGCAGCAAAGCCACCGGTCTTGAAACAACACGGCGCCGTTTCGCACGGGAGACAAGAGATGGCGCAAGCGGTCGCGACGCCAACTGCCGCCAACGAGCGAGCATACGACGCCGAGAGCCGGCGTCTTTAGCAGACAAAGAACTGCAGTTCCTTGTTACCGCGCCTGTTTTTGTTTCTGCGACTGTCGCCGCCTGCGGAACGTGCGCCGCTTTTGAGTCGAAAAGATCGTCTGCTAAAGACGCCGGCTCTCGGCGCCGTATGCTCGTTCGTTGGGGGCGTTCGTTGCGCAATCTCTTATCTCCCGTGCGAAACGGCGCCGTGTTGTTTGAAGACCGGTGGCGTCGCTGCGTTTCCATAGGAGGCCTTTTTCTTTCTTTACTTTTTCCTCGGGTAAATTCGCTCTTTGCAATATTTACAAAAAAAAAAAAAAAAAAAAAGCACCATCTGTGGGCAACGCTGCACAAAGTCGTAGCGCGATTGGTTAAGAAACCGAATTTTGCGGTCGATTTAAAGAGCCTGGCCTCTCCTTGAATCACCCTGTATATTAGATCGCTCGTTAGAACCCGCGTTTTCTCACCGGCCGTGTTGAACAGCTTGCGAATGGCGCTGGTGCTCATGATGTTGCGCTTCCGCAAGACGTCGGCGTAAACGCTGGCCAAGCAGCTTGTGATTGTGGTGAGCAGGTAGGGCAGCGAAGACAGCAGCCCGTTCTGCGGGACATAACGAGTGGCTCGTTAATTCACTTCTCGAAAGGAACGCAGTGCATGACTAAGGTCTCGGTAACCTTGTTCATACACCGCCCAAAAGGTACGGTGTTCTCTTCAGAAATGATGGCGGCATTACCTGCGAACACAACTCGAGCATATGTTCGAAGTAGGTTCGTTTCAGATACTATTTCAATGCTTCGAACATTTGTCCTCAGACAGTTCCTGTATAATCGATGTTACAGGACCGCCATACAGGGAAGAAACGCGCGTCAGACAGCAGACAGCTTTAGGGAACCGTGTATGCACATCTATACGGTATACGATGGGCCCTCCGGTACGAACTGTGCATGCGGTACCCTACCACCGAAGACTCGCGTATGCACAGTTCATAACGGAGGGCCCATCGTACCATATCGGATGTGCAAAATCGGTTCCCTAACACTCTATGTTGTCTTCAGACTGCGTTTTGTGTTGTGTATTTTCAGTGCGAAGGCAGCACTACTAGTCGACTGACGTCGTTGGTGAAGGTTGTGACATTTCGATGGATACGAGTTATTGCAGTGTTTCATTAAACAAAGTGCGGGAAAGGTTCCTCTTTTTTTTCTTTTTGTAATCGGAAACATACAAAACACGTTTTGATAGACGTAATTATTTTCGATTCTTTCTTCAATTCTGTAACTGTACCAACGCCATATATATATATATTTTTTACATTCGTGTGGTCTTGAATAGTGTGGCTGAAGTTTTCAGCAATTAGAAGGAAACTAAATTCTGAAACTGTTGCAGAGCGATGTTTTAAGGAAGTTAAAACCCCTACAGTAGGCGCAAATGACGTTGAAGTGAAAGATCACGGAGTGTTTATATACACGTTTGCAAGAAAGGCTCCTGTGCGCTGCCATTTTGAGCGATGCTGGCGCCCCGTACCGTTTCCGCCATGCTGGGGTGCGCCAGGGGCACGTCAGTGGGGTGCGCGATGACAAGATGGTGCCGTTTGCTGCATCGCCGATGGCTAACGTTAGCGGCACACCTACTGTCTCGGAACGCAGGAGGAGGTATCCACACAGAATCGTAGCGTCACATATTGTAGGACGGGGCATCTTTAAGGGTTGGAGCTGACTCTATAACGATCGCAGCCTCTGTTCCCGCATGTTGTGGAAGCCAGAGCTGCCTCGAGCGCAGCCATCGTTGATGCAACCCATACAAAAATGATCTATGGACGTCTATAGAAAATCCTATGGTGAGCTATCACCTTCTATGGCCCTCTATGGTCAGCCATTAGAAACCATAAAACACGCTATAGCCACCTATAGGAAAATGTATGTCTTCAAAGCTTTAGAATCTCGACCATTCCGATTTCTATACCTGGCTATAGAATAATTTATGACTACGCAGTTATAGACTCGCGACTATTCAATATTCTTTAGCGAGCTATAGAAATATGTATGTCCTTGATGCTATAGATTCGCGACTATTGAATGTGCTTTAGTCGGCTATAGAGTGGTGTATGTCCCTAAATCTATAGAATCGCGACCATTGAATTTTCTTTAGCCTACTCTATAGCGTTTTATGTCACCAAAGCTATAGGCCTTTGACCTTTCAATGTTCTTTAGCCGGCTATAGAGTGGTGTATGTCCTTAAATCTATAGACTCGCGACCATCGAACTTTCTTTAGCCGTCTTTATAGCGTTTTATGTCACCAAAGCTATAGGCCTCCGACCATTCAATGTGCTTTAGCCGACTATAGAGTGGTGTATGTCCCTAAATCTATAGAATCGCGACCATTGAATTTTCTTTAGCCGACTCAAAAGTGTTCTATGTCACCAATGCTATAGCCTCCGACCTTACAATGTACTTTAGCCGGCTATAGAGGGATGTATGTCTCCCGAGCTATAGACTCGCGACCATCCAATTTTTTCAGTCGGCTCACTGGTTTGCTTAGGCTATAAGCCCGCGACCCTCTCTTTTTTTTTTTTTTTTTTTTTTTTTTTTACTGCAGGTGTACGAAAGTGGAAGAGAGTCATTCATGCGCTCGATCGGGGCGCATGCCAGGTTAACAGGTTATACGCCCGCGATTACAAAAGCGTCCATAGCTGCCTATAGGGCTATTGCAGTTTTGCCGGCTGCTTTCCCTGCGCATTGCCTTATTTCGGCGTTGACGTCATCTCAATCTTCCGTTTTTTAGCTCTAATTATCTGTCGTTTCCAGTGTATTTTGTAAGTATATGTATTTCGTAGCGCGCCTTCTACGTTGTCCGTGTCCCTGCCATGTTTGTATTTCTTTCTGCCTGCTGTGTTAAATATATTTAATGTTTTTTTTTTTTTTGTGTATATTTCGTCGTTCTCGACGCGGCGTCAAGAACGCTGCTTACGCCACTACAGAGGTGAGCTTTACTCTTGTCACGACGGTTTATCGCGCTATAAAGCCGTCTATTGGACTCGTATAAAGTCTCGAGAGGGCGGTTTCGAATGCCGGTGCACATGTCATCGGTGTAGGCAGAGCAACGACGTAGCAATCGCGACGCGAGTGGTGACTGCGCCTCGATCTGGCCGGCCGCGCTCGCTCTGTGGAAATGTAAGCTTGGGACTCTCGAGCCCCGTTAGCTTACTGAAAATGCAAGACACTACTTGGTCGTCGCGAATCCTTTGCCCTTCGAATGGCTTCGAAGCCGTTCTAGCGCCCGGCGTATACCCTACGCAGCGTCCTCCAACAACCGTTCGCACAGCATCGGAACCCTCCGTCTGCGAGCGCCGGCGGTTCGCCGTCGCGGGGACTATGTTCGCGGGAGTTCATGTTCGGGGTGTTTCATGTTCACCGCAGGAGTTCATAAAATGCTTCCATTCAAGTTGCAACGATAAATCGTCAGCGCTCGCAGACTGCCAGTAGGCTCCAGAAAGGTTGCGATGCTGCGCGGGCGGTCGCTGATAGGCGCTGCTGCCTAGGGTACGCCGAGCACTGGAACGTTTTCGCCGGCGTTCGCAGGACAAAGAATCTCAACGACAAAGCAGCGCCCTGCATCATCAGGAAGTTAACGATGCTCGAGAATCCCACGCTCGAGAGTCCCACGCAGTCGTCTCTCATTTCGCGATTGCTGCGTCGTTGCTCTGACTAAGCAATTCACAGTTCTCCCGAGACTTCATGAGCGTTAAATCGACGCGCCTATAGCGCGATAGAGTGTCGTGACAACAAAACAGCTTACCCTGGCAGGGGCGTAAGCAGCGGTGCAATGTCTGTCAACGCCCATGTCGAGAACGGCGAAATATACAAAAATAACAGCCGAAAGAAAAAAATTAATATCATTAGGCACGCGCTACCCTAGGTGCGTCCTATTATCTTTCTGTTCTGCGAATTCAACAAATCAGCAAGCGCTGTGGCTAATTTTTCTTCTTTTTCTTTAAATTATGAGACATTAAACTCATTGGAGCTTCTTGGAGCACACATCCCCACCATGAGTCATCATGGTGCTCAGAGATTGTAATTGATGGCAGTGATATAGACTGAACTCACGGATGAAAAACGTATTACGGCACAAATTTCTTAAACCACTCAATCATAGATGCCACTACGATGCAAAGATTCCCAAAATTGACGTTTAAAAATGCGAACCTAACAGTGTACACATAATTCAAAAGTGCTTGGTAAAAAAAAAAAAAAAAAAAAAAAAAAAATATATATATATATATATATATATATATTTATTTATTTATTTGTTTGTGGACATCCTGCGCAAAGAGAAAGTATTCGCCATTAATTATTCATTATGAATTAGCATGTGGGCTAAAAGGCGTAAAATATGATATCTTCAAACATGCCTCGTTTTGGGTCACTTCTGGGAAGTGCAGCTTTAGAAAGAAGTCCAAAAGCTGGGGGGCCTTCATGGAGCTGTCCTGTTCACTCGGTAGTGACAGCAGAGTAGACGCTATGCGTGTTTGAGGCCAATCATGTCTCCGGTTAGGGTCCCGTGACAACTGTCTCGAAGCTGGTGATAACGCTGGACACGGCACCTGCCTTAAGCCCAAGGCCACACATAGCATCCACTGCACTATCAACCTTGGCTCGAACTGTCAACAGGATATAAGTGACACATTCTCTCGCTGTGTTCATTGTTGGTATGCCCCTGAGGATTAGTCTTTGTGATCGCACCCCCGTTCTGGCCTTGAAGGAGCTCTGCTTTTCAATTTTTCTGTTTTCTCTCTCTCCCTAAGCTAAAAGCATTGCAGAAGGTGCGTACTCGGCAAACCAATCAACCGTAGACTTTCTATTGCTTCACTCTGCTCTCTGTGCGCATGTAACGGAAGGAGCGTGATCACGTGGTTTGACGGATGACGTAATAGCCGCTGCCAATCCCGGAATGAGGCTGCTTGCGGACCTAGTTTCGCGTGTCGTGCGGTCCGCGGGGCTGCTGTGGATTTCGCTTCTATGTTAAAAGGTATCCCGATCGAAAAGTCCTACCCGTATGTCGGCAACAAGCGATTTCTTCAAAGAAGCCCAAGACATTCTTGTGATGCGTTCAGTGTTCGGTTCGGCAAATGACAGCTTGTGCTACATCGTGGTGAATCTTCACGGATCCCTTCCTTCTCGGTTTTGTGTTTGAGTGGTTGGTCTGCAGTGCCCGTGTCGACGTATATTTCGCATTACATCTTTCAAGTCCGGTATTTTGAACGTAAGTGCGCTGCAACCTACTCGGCGACAATTGACCGTTCTGTAGTGTCTATCTCCTGGCAGTGCCTATCTTCTGACAGCTGGGAGAATAACTTCCCCGTAATTCTACCGCAGTCGCCTGCCATTAGCTCTCTGAAATCATGTGAAAATTGTAGTTAGAATACTGACATTCTATTCTCTCTGCGTTTTGTGAAAAGACGTTTCATGGACACCTTTTCGTGGATAGACGCTTCATGGACACACGTTTAGTCGGCACTCGTTACGCGAATTGCACGCTGCAGGGACATTTCGTCGCGCCTGTATTCCTGAGGCGCGTGCTCACCGACTCAGCCCACCCGTTCACGCCACTTCTTGGCAAATCATTACAAAAAAAACAAAAAAAAAACATATTTTGAGTTGTTTATAAACGTCACGTGTTGATGAAACGATCTCGATGAAACGTCTTTTGATAAACTGATTGCATCGCCAATGAGTGGCGACTGGCATTAGAATTTCGGGGGGAAAGGGGGGGGGGGGGGGGGGAATTCGGCCGGCTGCCGGGGGACTAGACATTACCCAGGAATTGCCTTTGGTTCTTGTTTGCTTTACAATATTCTCAGTTGTATAACAGCTCAGTAGTACCTCTTCACATAGTAGAGATTGCTTAGTGTGTGCTTGTCTACAGAATGGGCTGTGTGTAATAAACTTCTAGGAGATTTGAAAACAATACCTTGTGTCTGTTTACCTGTGCTTTTGCAAACACCTGAGTGAGTGCATTTGTTTTTTGTTGTTGTTTTGTTGAAATGTTAGCTCTTTGTTTTAGATGGGGCTATGAAGTTCGGCACGTCTCACAAGGTTTTTTTTAAAGATGTCCAGTGACAACAAATAATTTGTTTCACATTTCTTACGATTGCGGTAAAAAGAAAAACTACAGGCAGCTATGGCACGATGGTAAAGAGACTCATAAGACGAGATATAGAAGAAGCTATAGCAAACCATACAGAGAGCAATAGGCAGATAAAGAAATCATAGAAAAAGTCATAGGCAGCTATTGCACGGTGTCTAAAAAGATCCATAGAGTAAGGCATAGAGATTTCTACAGCACACCATATAAGATGCTATAGGCGGCTAAAGGAACCATGGAAAATTCTATAGGCAGCTGTAGCACGGTGGGTATAGAGAACCATAAGACGAACTTTAGAATGAGCTATAGCGGACCATACAAAGAGCAATAGGCGGCTAAAGAAACCATAGGAAAAGCCACAGGCAGCTATAGCACGGTGTCTAAAAAGATCCATAGAGTGAGCCATAGAGATCTCTATAGCAAACCATACAATATGCTATAGGCGGCTAAAGGGACCATATGAAATGCTATAGAAAGCTGTAGCACGATGGGTATAGAGAACCATAAGGCGAGCTATAGAATGAGCTATAGCGGACCATACAAAGGGCAATAGACGGCTAAAGAAACCGTAGGAAAAGCCATAGGCAGCTATAGCACGGTGTCTAAAAAGATCCATAGAGTAAGCCATAGAAATCTCTATAGCAAACCATACAATATGCTATAGGCGGCTAAAGGAACCATAGAAAATTCTATAGGCAGCTGTAGCACGATGGGTATAGAGAACCATAAGACGAGCTATAGAATGAGCTATAGCGGACCATACAAAGGGCAATAGACGGCTAAAGAAACCGTAGGAAAAGCCATAGGCAGCTATAGCACGGTGTCTAAAAAGATCCATAGAGTAAGCCATAGAGATCTCTATAGCAGACCATACAAAATGCTGTAGGCGGCTAAAGAAACCAAAAGAAAAGCCATAGGCGGCTATAGCATCCTTTCTAAAGAGACCCATAGACTAAACCATACCGAATTCGATAGCGAAATTTCCATTGAAAAAGCTATAGACAACTATAGGGGAGACCATAGGGAAAGCTATAGACAGCCATAGAAACGGCTATAGCTAATTGGGCCAATTTGCTATAGCCGGCCATACAAAGGATTTTCTATAGCCGACCATAGACCATTTTTGTATGGGAAAGGCCATGCGACTTGTGGCGGATTCTGAAGAGCGCCTTAAGACTTTAGATCTTTTTTGAAATGTTTCTATTTGTTACCGGTTTAGGCATTTTATTTAATTATCCGTGCTCTTTCGCGGTCGAAGACGACACGTGTACGTTTTATAGTTATTTTTTAAATTTCTTTCTGCGCTCAGTGGTGTGCGCTTCGGCGAGAGACGCTTGGCAACATTGTACGACAACCAGCGAACGTCCTGGCTGGAGAGTAGGTCCGCCTCACCTTGGCGCGCGGTTCGAGGTTAAGCCAGGATCCCACTTGCAAAGGTGTATATTAAGCAATATGAAGAATAACGCTAAGCGATCATATGTTGTTCGTAAATGAACTAAACAAACTACCACCTTTGGCAGTCGTCATTCTAATAGTATACTAATTTTTTTTTTGTAACGAATACATGAACTGGAATATAGACACAGAATTTATTGTCGCTATAACAATATTAGCAACGTTCCAAGTGCCAAGCCTGCACACCGGAATGCGCTGCAGTGTCGTACGCGAGATTTAATCGAGATCCATAAACAAAAAGAAACATAAAACAACGTCTCTTCTTGTGTTTTCTTTTTATGCCTATTTCTGATCTTCGGTGTGTCTTCATTCTTGAAAAAAAAAAAAAAAAAAAAAAAAAAAAAACGTGGCAAAAAACAAACGAGCAAACAAAAACGTTTTGAAATTTGTTTTTCGAATGTTTAAACGACAAACAAGTCCAAGGTTGTTCCGAAATTTCTGTATTACACGTTGACAGGTGGACGATAATTAAGCCCCGCGGTTTTCACCGCAAGCGCTTATATTGGCAACGTCTACATGTACGTTATCTGGCGAACAGGTTAACTGCGACGCAGCCGGAATAACAAACAAAACGTCAGCAGGAAACTAACGCCGTTTATTTTTTTTTTGTTCTTTCTCTGGTTTTATTTATCTACGTCTGTTGTGCTAAACCAGGTGGGCGCTGAAACGTAGTCCAGATATTCTAGGTACTACCTCAGGATATACCAGAAATTATATCTGCTCTTGGAAATTTGCAAACCGATTTTCTAAAAAAGAGAGAAAAAAAAAGGGTCGATATTTAACTTACACCTGGGTTTCAGTTTCAGTGAAGGAAGCAAGCGCTTATCTGTCTTATATTAAACGACCATACATATACAGTCTCTTATTGTTTTATTCTGTCCCGCCAAATACCCCGGCATCTACATTCATTATTGTTCTGTTATGAAGAAATATATCAAAACGACGAACATAAAGATGATACGACTGATGCCACGTTCAGACTGCGGACGCAGCTTGCATAGCGCTCCACCGGAAATGGAGAGGTCCCCGGTTCGATACCCGGACCAGACGGATTTTTTTGTCGCGCACCAGTCACCTAGCTGTGCTTGGAGATTTGTGTTTGTCCTTTGTCCCTCTTGTTCCCCTTCTCCGGGGATTACTTTCGTAATTCTCGTCCAGCTCGCTTGCACCTTTGCATTTAAGTGCTTTATGATCATAAATAGCTTATTTCCCCCGACTATCATAACGGCTGTAATTTAGGCTTACGGCGACAGTTAATTACCACGTAAGTTAAGTCTTTCACGACAGTTTAATCCGAATGCAAGGCGCACAACTGACATGTCTAGAGACAGATGCCACCACGGGCTAGCAAAAGGAGCGTGGCGAAAACCCCACGAGCTCAAATCCATACGCTTTGCACGCCAACGTCCCCCAAAAGATTGCTGGCCAATCGGTAGGACCGTTACCCTGATGCGGTGGCTGGAACGGGTCTTTCACCGGTATGTTTAGCGCCCCATCCCTGCCACAGTAATCCCGACATGGCAACAAATGACGTCACACAAGCCGGCCTGTCAAGTTGTCGGATGTAGCGACCCTGCCGGTTGGTGCTAGAAGTTTCGACAAAAAGCGCGAGCGAATTCCCTATACATCAGGGAGTTTTAGTAGACCGTGTTTCCCGTTCCGCTAGCCCTCCGCTACGAAGAAACCGCCACTGCGCCTGCGCGCCGATGGCCTTGGCTGTAGAGTTCCGGGTAGCGGAGGGGCTTAGCGGAGCGGGAAACACGGTCTACTAAAACTCGCTATCAATTCACCTTAGGTCCGAGCGCGGCCGATGTTATGAACCGAAAGGCCAATCAAACAGCTTAAAAAGCGCAACGTCATGGCGTGCTCTCTGCGCTTGATAGGACTAGCCGGCGGAGGAGCACGCACAGAGAGACGGCGAATGCCGGCTGGTCCTATCAACTGCACGGAGCTCGCCATGACGTTGTGCCTCTTTCGCCGTGTGATTGGCCCGTCGGCCGCGCTCGGACCGAAGCTGAAACTAAGTATAGTGTGGCTGTCGTGGAGGCGCCTTTAGGCGTCCTAACTGCAGACTGCTGAAGCCTCCGTGGTCTGTCACACCGGAGAGTAACCTGCAGCAGAACTGGCGTCTGCCACTCCACCACAGTTGCTGGGACGCCGCCAGGATCGCGACCGGCGGCAGTGCGACACGTATATGACGTCATCAGGTGGAAATGGGGGGACCACTTTTTTGGGGCGCGGTAGTCCCGTGACCGGTAGAAAAGCAAAACGGGATCTCGTCGCGCATTGGCTAAGACGTATCGGCCGCATTGTTAAAGAGAATCTTCGACGAAATTCTTTGAGGGTCGCTAATTTGCCTCAACCAACCCACCCATGGGCACGTCTGAAATCTAGATCACCAAAATTATACGTCAACATAAGTTTTCATTCACTAAGTGGTTGAATTCTCAAATTCGGTCCCCACCGTGATTTTTTTTTTAATTTAAAGTATTTATTTTTTTACTACACTGAAAACGTGACGACCGATGTAATTTGGGCAACACAACCTGCTACCAACGTATTACGAGAAATTTGATGGTGTGGAGTGAATGCTGAAAAATTTCACGCCAGCAGACAAACAAGAAATGCCCGACATTTTATGTATTTTTACTAGTCTGCCTGCACGACCTATAAGTTTTTTTCGACATATGACGTCAACCCACTGGAAAATCCAGGACAATTTTAAAGTTCGTTCTGTCATTACCTTCATTTGATTTTTTCTCAAAAACAATCTCGAATTTATAAATAACAAATAGCATGCAAAAAAAAAAAAAGAGAAGAAATCCGGGGTACTAAAAAGAAAAAAGGTTGTACAAGAGCTAAATGCGGAACTAATTTTAAGATTTGCACGCAGTCTGATCAAAATTGATACGCTTGCTCCGCTTATACGCTAGTGGGTTTTAAGAAAGATCGGAGCGTTGCATTCGTAGTGTGAACATAGCTTGAGGTGTACCTTCTTGATGTCGAACATGAGCACGGTGGCCAGGTAGGTCGGAATAACCGTCAGGAACGTGTAGTAGATCCAGTTGGAGCCGAAATGCGCCAGGGACAGCGCCCAGAGTCCCTTGGACGAAAGAATGGACTTCCACGGGATCTTGGCGTTCTGAAAACAATCCAAGTTGGCGTTAAGACCCAGAGATATTCTGTCAAGACCGCAGCTGGATGCAGATTTTGCTGACAGGGGTAGCTGTTAGTGCTCCTTCCTGGTGAAATCCTGCGTCCGTAGGCAATAACAGGCGTGATCGCGGGGAGAAAGTTATAGTGCCGCCGGGATATAGCCCATATGCATAATTCTTGCAGGCTATCATCATCATTCCATCGAGAGCCGCCATACTGTTTTTTTTTTCACATTTTCCAGTTGTAAACAAGGCGCGTCTTCATTTAAATCAGTTTTCATGATATTAGGGCAATGCATTTGTGAACTGAATATGCTGCTGTTTAGTTCTGGTTCAAAGAAGAAATGAAAGACGGCCGCAAAATTGTGGGGAAAAAAATTGTCATCAACCATGTCGCAAAATCGTCACTTAAGCAGTGAACTGGGCCATCCAGGTCAGCAGAAGGTCTTTATCGAAAATGTTATGGGAAGGATTCGTACTGGACTTGAAGCACGTGGTTCTATTTTAGATCCACGACTCCCACGCTGTTGGGACCACTGTCTCTCGGGTGACACTTTCGCCCCCCCGCCTCGATATGGCGGAAATTCGATCATTGATCTCGAGTACACTAGATGGCGCTTTTCTTTTTGCTTACCCTTCCCCCCTCACCGTCACCTTTCGCACAGCCACGCCATGTACTGCAAGACACAGCTCCCCCCTCTCTCTCTCTCCCTCCCCCCCCGCCCCTCCTCTTCCTTGCCGCCGCCTGATTGGGGTTCTGGAAGCATCTCTAGCGCGCACAGAAAAAAGGCGCGGTCCAGGGCGGCGCTCGCTCAATTCTCCCTTCTATCCCTCAAGACATGGTTGGGCCGCGCAAGATTCGCTTTTTCCCCTTCTCCAATGATTATTTTCGTCATTCGATTTCCGTCCGCGGGGCGGGAATGGCAATCACGCCGCACTGAGCAGCGCACACAGAGAGCCACAGCGGCAAGAGACACGGCAAGGGGATGCGTGAGCGCCTTTCACTTGCCTCCTAGAGCACACCCTCCATAGATATTCTACTAGAAGCAAAGTTCATAAAGCAAATATCCTAAAGCAAATAAACTAAAAGCTGATATCCAAACACACATCTTTCAACAAGGCAACAGCTGCCGCTGTAGCCGCAGCATACTTTGTGTGGTAGTTTTCAATTTGTTCAGTCTGAATTTGTTTAAAAAAGAAAACAAATTTTGTGCAGAATAAACAGTGGCATATCAAGACCAACGGCAAGATCACATTCGGTGACTTTAAGGAACTCGAACAAATAAAAAAAGCACAAATAAAGTTAAAGAACGGACGCAGTCGAGTTGCTTTTCAACTCGAGAGAAAGACCGAAGAGTAAACCCAACAAGTATTCTGGAGAGTCGCGTTGTTATGCCCCCTTCTGTCCTCGGTCACGCACTCCGGGATTATGACGTCTATTCAAATACGTACCTTTGTACAAACATTCACTAAGCAAATTAAACCTTCGTCGTTTTATTAGGTGTGGTTTTCCCTACCTTGTTCACTTTCTCGTCTCCCTGATTGAGCAGGATGTAGTCGTACTCCTCTTGCGTGATCCTTGGGTGTTCCTCCGGACTGTCATAGACCAAGTAAAGCCAGAAGCCAAACCAGATGCAGCCTAGGAAACCTGCAGCAAAACGCAACACCCGACATACATCCTGAACAAAAATGGAGTGCTGTCAATACTCGGTGACGGAGTAGAAACTGAGGGAGCGGCCATATTGGAAAACAAATTTTCATCTAAATATGGATTTTAGGGCACTTCAAGGCCCATAAACGTGAAATTTGAAGCTCTTTTAAGCGCCAAAAATATCACCTTACAAGGTACATTTTGAACATGCAGTTACAAAATATTATGATCACCTCAATTTAGTTGAAATAATTTTTAAATTTGCAAATGTCCAAGTATTCTTCTTTTTTTTTTTTGCTGTCGACAGTTTAGGCTACTTTGTCATGTTAATCTCCTTGACGAAACATTTATCTTTTTTTACAAATCCAATGTGAGGACTTACTAAACAGATATTTACCGTCTAGAAAACGTTGACACAACTGTTGATGCAACTTACTGTGCATTGTTTATTATGAACAAAAATACCTCTCAAAGGACCGTCCCTTAAATAATTGTGTAGCTTTTCGTTTATGTCTGCCAGCTCAGCCTTATCCACGGAAAGGTTTGCGTTTGTCTGAGAAAGAAGAACCTGCCCCGGTTGGCAGCATGGCCGCTAGTTGTCCTTCAATTTACCGCGCGGCTCAGGTTGCGCGTGGCTAGGATAGGTGGCGCAAGTCGCTGCCTAATTTGGCCGGCATCGCAATTTTGGCTCGATTTGGAGAAATATGGCGGGGGTTTGTCAGGATGGCGCAGTAAGTTGCCTCTGGAGCAAAACGGTGCCTTCGGCACAGGAGTGAAATCAAAGATATTATATTACCGCTTCTCACTCAGCGATTCGTTCCCCGTCTAATGCCGTAACCCGACTCACTAACGAGCGATAAAAAGACGGGCACGACTAGACGCACGTGCACCTTCGAAGATGATTGTGATTGTAAAAAAAATCATGCTGTCTGGAAGTTATCAATATAATATTTTAGATGTAACTGTAGACGCATTATGATAACCTTGAAGCAAAGTCGCAAAGTGCTGAAGCAATGTGTTTTTTTTTTTTTTCAATGTTATGTCGTGTAGTAAATTCTAAGCCACGCTCAACATAAGCTAGAACAAATACAAACACAATTTAACGAAGATTAATGCGAAGAAAGTAAACAACAATCCCAGTCACGCCCCCTCAAATTAAATTTGCTCTGAGCTGGGGTTGGAAGCGGAAACGCAAAATGAGTATATATCGGTTTCAGAGCACTTAGTTGTAATCACTAGCAGCAGGCAATTTGCTCACAGTCGCTGTACATTTCGTGTTGTGGCCGTGGTAGAGTGGCGCGCTTTCCGCGATCGAGTTGTACCATCTATTCAAATGTAATGTTGTTCTTGGCACCACTTATTGAGCGCACGTTGTCTACTCGTGGCACATTCTAGCACGTGACGCTAACTTTCATAAATAAAGTATGAAGAGCATGCGATCTAAGCATTTTTCCTCAAACTCCTGAAGCATATATTTTATTTCATTCAAGCTAAACACACGCACACACACTTACAAAAATAGAATTGTTTCAAAACAAGCTTTTAAACTAAAAAAAGGGGGAAAAAAAGAAAGCGCTTTCTGTGTAAATGTTTAACTCTCGCCTAAATAAAATATATTTCATTTGCGGAAGAAAGAAAAAAATACATGACAAGAGCCGTTTAATGAACTTCTTAATAACCGAATGTCGGAAGCAGTTGTGCAGCGTTTGTTTGGACGGGATGAAACTTGAAACATTAAGGGTGCGTTACGCACGGGTTAAGCAGCAATACACGTCCGCACTTAAGAGATGTGTACAGCACGCACGCGCAGAATCTCGCTGTACAGCAACATAGGCGGGTCTATGCGCACTTGGTAGTACACGACTTCGGAAGCGAGCACGAGATGCGGTAGTATATTCACCCACTTTCATATTCATATGAACGAGATAACGTTCACTACCTACATACGAAGACGATTAAAACCAGGGTCCGACTGCTCATACGTCATACAAAGAACAGTCTCGCGTAACTCGCGTTTGAATCTGTATGCAGACTTTTTTTTTGCATGATGTAATAGGAGTGTGACCCTACCTTAAGGAAACAGGCGGTCAGACAAGCAGTTTTTTTGCTTTTTTCACGAGCGCTTAGACACTGTCTTTTACAATGTTATTTTGTAATGTTCATTATTGAATTAGGATCACCGAATAATAAGCTGCTTACTTTTGCAATCCACAAATTTTATTAAACCATACTCCGAAAAAACGTGGTTCGAGGATTCCTTGGCGCCATTAGGAAGGGAAGGAGAATATCGTAACCGTTATATATGTTATATTATTACCTGCAAAAGTAACGACATTACTCTCGTGATTACTTTCTAATAAATCTATTCACATAATTACAAGATTATGTCAAAAACGAATAGATTACAAGTAATCGTACAAATCTGCGCAACTGAACAATGTATTACTCCTTGCTCAATTCGCAAGACGTGACTTGAACAACGAAATAAACCGCGCTTAAGAGTAACGACGTTCCAGTCATCTTGTTACTTAAAACCATCGTTGCCAGTTATTCAAAGCTTGCCATTAAATCGCAGGATACCCTTTTCCACCAGTCGAAGACCCGCGTTCCGGGCTCAGTATTCTAGGTGGCGCTGGCTCAGCTGAGATTATGCTGCGTGGACGTGAAGGCTGCGGAACTCACCGAAGACGTAGAACACCGCCGGCCACCCGCCCAGGAAATTTGAAGACGCCAGGAACCCGGAGAAAGTGAGCGCGGCCATGGCTCCCACGTGAGCGCCGGCGTGCACGAGAGCTGTGGCGGTGGACCGCTCGAACTTGGGAGTCCAGTACGCCAGCATGGTGTGCATGGCCGGGTACGTCACACCCTGTACGGAGACCGATCAGTCCAGCAGCTGTGTCACGCGTGTAACTTTTTTTTTTTAATTATTGCGTGTATATATACATTGCGCGACGCAATTAGTGCGAACACTACATAGGCACTGCAGGTTCGCAATTTACTCAAAAAGGGTATTAGTTAGCACTAAAGTTTATTTCTCCGATTGCTGTCTCGCGATAACACTTTCCGCCACACTGGTAGTTGTATTATTTCAGCTTCTAAAACAAAAGAAACAACAAAATCAAAGATCGACGATTGCTTTTTCGCACTAACAGTGTCGCTCTCTGTACGTACGTACGGTCCCCCGAAATATGAAAGACCGATTCGCCGAAGCAGTTTGTGTGGTGTTGCTAAAAAAACATTGACCAGATGCCCTTGATTTTTACAGAGAGAATAGAAGGAATGTTCATTTACTTCCTCACCCCAAGCAACATGGGCCTAGTCAAAGCGTTTTCAGCACCCCCATGAACTTGTGCGCTTTAATATCAGCAAAGAAGTAAAGAAGTGAGATAAACTGAAGCCGCAGAGGAAGACCGCCGCTCTGGTGAACACGAAAAAGAAGGTTTTGTAAAAAAAAAAAAAAAAAAAAAAATGTTTCTGCGCTGCAATTTTTTTTAGCGAAGTCGACTCTACTACAAATGCACACCACCAGCCTTGACTGCACAGTTCTGAATTTCATAGAAGATTGCAGAGTGTTAAAAAATGGCGGAAAAAAAAAAAAACTCCTTGACAGTTTATGACTGTACGACAGTCCGCAAGTACTTTCATCGCTAGTGGAGAGTGGTTGATGATGTCATTGAGGGCAGGCGGTAGGTACTTTATTACCTCCATGATGTCATACAGGTAACAGAGGGCGAGCCCGTGACGTGAGGAGGCGTGGACAGCCCGCAGACAGGACCATGCAGCCTTAAAGATTTACTAACCCCCCCCCCCCCCCCCCGCACACACACCCAAGCAAAGCTAAAAAAAGATTTGCCAGGCGATGGAATTTGGTGTCAGGAGACTGGCCAATAAATAATTTGCTGCAGAGTCACGCGTATTAAAATAAAAAAAAAAGCTAGACTGCTTGAAATCGACATTGAGAGACGAGCACGGAAGCTCATGGCCGGAAGTTACGCGGCTACACACTTTACCGTGTTTCTTTTTTTTTTTCTCCGTTTCACTGGCGCGTAAAGCAGACGACGAAGTTGCACGCCTTGCGATTGTTTCGCACTTCTATCCCTTTTGTTCGATGTTCTGCGCTTGAAGATCGATTGGCCGTTACCACAAGCGGCAGTTCCGAAGTAGCAGACCCACGTCTGTCGTAATGTTGGTCCTTCGTGTGCCGCCATCGCGTCGTCCAGCCCGCGATACGTCTCCATTTTGTGAACGATGTTTACATATACTTCCGTTGATCAGTGTAACATTTGTTTTTCGATCAACGTATTTGCATTTTTGTGAAGGTCATAAAAACGAGGTTCGTATTATTTTCTATTTTTAATATTGAACGTGTGCCTTAGATGACCCACGACTTTGAATACATTTGGTACACTTACCTTGAACGCCACGTGACCATAGAAAATGGAGTGAGCGCGTTACCGAAACCGGCCAATTCTAAACCGGCTGTTTTCCTAGCTAAAACAAAAAAAGAAAATTTGATCCGAAAATTAGCTTTTGGGTAGTTCAGCTCTTATAGGTTATGTTCAAATAAAGAAATAAAAAAAATCGCCGAGCATATTTACTGCCGAATTCAGAAACCTCACTCAAACTACACTCAAACTGAAGGGCCCCTCCACTTCCTCGAGGAAGGCGCGAGGGCCGGCGCTGGCCAATCGCGAGGACGGATCCGCCGTCGCCATTGGCCAGCGCCGGCCCTCGCGCCTTCCTCGAGGAAGTGGAGGGGCCCTTCAGTTTGAGTGTAGTTTGAGTGAGGTTTCTGAATTCGGCGGTTAACCTGCCAGTGTCCCTTTAAGTGAGAGATTGCATCTTAAAGGGCAACTCCGCTCAATTCCGAAGATTTCGGGATAATGATTGATTTCGAATTAAAAAGCCCTGGTAAAACACACTACGTCGTTTGCTTCGCGAAAAATGGGATATAAATTTTTAAATCTGATTTTAAACACGAGCGGAAATCGAAACCGAAACTTCGGCTCCGCCCGGCAACATTGGCCTCGGGTCGCCAAGTACATGGCCATCACGTGGTACGAGATGTCACGTGATCCTCGGCCCAACGATGGGCGGGATTGGGGCGGGCGTGTGGCAGGCGCGAGTGTCGTCTGCACCCCACTCTTCGCCACGTTTTGGTGTTTACGGCATTCGACGACGTCTGCACAACTGCGGCATAAGTGTGCGCGCACGTGGTGTCCGTAGTGTGGACGAAACTCCGAGAGACAATAATCACAATCGGTGAGACGACGACGGCGGTTGTGACGCGGAAGACGGCGGTAACGGCGGGACCGCGGCGGCGGCTGGACGGCTCCCAAGAAACGCGCTGCGCAGGCGCGTTACGCCAATCACGTGGACACTGCTGAGCGCCGAGAGGCAACGTTGCTGACGTCATGCGCTACGCTCGCCCGGAGAAGTGAAAACAAGCAAAAGGGGGCCATGTAGATGGCGTTTAGCTCAATGTTGACTCCGCCCATGCCGTAGCCTTGACTGCGCTGTTCGTTGCGCCTGAATTCGCCCGCTCAAGTCAGCCGATTTCGGCAACTTGGCGAGTTGCAAAGTTTGCCGGACCGTTTAAGAAACATTTAGGCAGAACTGCGTCGTAAGATTTCACGTGTGGTCTTCCTAGGCGATACTGAAGAGGACTGCATTGTTTTTTCAAAACCAAAAATGAAGCGGAGTTGCCCTTTAAAGCCGCTGTAACAGTGCTAACACATTATACGAAAAACTGTCTGCGGACACTAAAGAGTTTTAGGGGACCGTTTTCGCATATCCGATACGGTGCGATGGGTTTTCCGGTACGAACTGCGCATGCGCTAACACAAAAGTCTCGCATATGCGCACTTCATACCGGAGGGCCCATCGAACCGTATCGAATGGGAAAAACGGTTCTCTAAAACTCTCTACTGTCTGAGGCGTAGTTCCTTCCCCGTATGATGGTATTTTCACATTGGTCATACACAAAAAGTCTGCTGACATTGTGCGATGCATACAAATGTCTAAAGCAAACGTGCTCATGGTTCAGGCGTATCCGCAGTTGATTTGGTCATCATGGCTCCAGAAAACACCGTTTCTTGTACGATGGATGAGCAGCATGACCGTAACTTAGGGCCACGTGGTTTTGTTTTTTCTCATGGAAGCGTGCTCATCTGAGGCTGACCTCTCCTAGTCCCTGCAGCACCCGGATGGCGATGAGCGCGCCGTAGTGGGCCCTGGATGCTATGGGGATGAAGAGGGTGAGGACGGCCGTGAGGAAGATGCCCAGGCCGAACATCCACTTGGCGCCCAGCACCTCGGCGATCCGGCCTCCCGGCAGCTGGGTGATCACGTAGCCGTAGAAGAAAGAGCCCAGAATAATGCCCTGGGTGTACTGGTCCCACTCGAACTCCCCCGTCTGCAAGAAATAGGAGAGACAAAGTTGCGAGATACGGCGTGGAGCTCCGAAAGAGTGTACCCTTTCCATTACAGGTTACACCTGGCGGATGAAATGATGCCAAGTCACCTCTAGGTCTTTTTTTTAACTCAAGACAACAAAAGTCAATTTTGTTGATAGATGTCTGAACGGCCGCTTCTCGTGCCGATCTGCCAGGCCTTGTCAGAATAGAGGAGGCTATGGTAACAAACAACAGAAGCGGCCGCGCGCGGACACTCGGCGGCTGCCGGCCTTGAAGCAAGGTCCTTTTATAATTTGTCTCGTCCATGTTCAATTAAATGTAGTAGGTTACTTTTCAAACCCAAGGCTCCGTGGCACTCCACCGGGTTGGGCATTCAACGAGGCAAACCGGCCGCAACACATCGCTAGACTAACCATTGCTCTGACGACAACCACCGCAGTGTACCACTACACACACAAATTGGAAATTTCGTCAGTGTAGCACGATTGTTAACCTGTATTTAAGGTGCGCCACACCGAATTGTGCATTTACTATTGTTTTATATTATCTCAAAAATTCTTTATTTTTCAGAACACTTTTTTTTTACAAGAAAACAGTTTAGATTTAAAATGAATCTGAACAATGGTACAGACTAAGCATGCCAATTATTACAGGCTCAAAACGAAAAAAACTTGGAACTACTCGCGCTCGTCTTTAACAATCAAAACAAAAACCATAAAAAACCCAAAAAAACTTGAGACTATACAGTGCAAAATATGCGTCAAACGTACAAATGTCCGAAGACCATTGTGTGTGTGTGTTTTTTTTTGCTTGTTTTATAATAGTTTCCTATATAGTACCAGGGCTAGTTTGTTCCGCGTCTCCAATCGTTCGTAATGCCGTTTTCATTGCCCGTTACACACAGACAAAATGCCAGTAAGTATACTGGCATTTTCTTTTAAGCCAAAGTCACTCTGTTCAGACATCAAACAAAAAATACAATACATTTGTCTTTTTAGACTTATGCTAGGTGGCGCAACTTACCGCCCATTACAAAGGGTATAGACATTAACATTCATCCACCTACGGTGTTCGCTGCATGCAGAAACGGTAAGACAGAAATGTCTGGACACACGCCTCAGGCTCGTACGGAGCACGTTTGCTTCGCACATGTGAATGCTTCGAAGATGTCTGCATACAGATTTTTTGTATCCACACATGGAAGAGACACGCATCGGACAGTTTCTGCAGGCTGTTGCTTTGTATGATGTCTCGACAGTGTGTCCGCGTAGCCGAGTTGGTCAATAGACCAACTCGGCTAAGCTGTACAAAAAGACGGTCTGCAAACAGGAGTCACCGCAATATCCGTGGTTCGAACGCCGCGTGCCCAAGTTTTTCCCCCTCGAATTCGTTGCCGTACGGCATTCGAAGCACGCATCTCGCGGTGACTCCTCGCGTTTGAACCTGCATGGGTGGGCTGTTGGTTTTTATGATGTATAAGCAGACTGACCCCGGCTTTAAGGACTCCGTGCCTTCCGGTGGGGTTTTTACAGCGGAGCTGTTTAGGGCTAGTTTCCCCAGGATCGTGTCGCCCGCAAAGAAATGGAGACACCGAACTCTGGACACCTACCGCCATCTATGAGTGACGACGGCCAGCCACGTATATGGTTGTCGCCGTCGCTCATAGATGGCGGCGGCCTTTCCGAGCTTGGTGAGCTTGCCGACTTGCGGCCGGCCGGCGATTACTTTCCATTGTACAGCTCTGCTGGTCTTCCGTCTTCACAGGATTGTAAAGGCTAACAGCTTTTTAATCGGGGTTTCAAGACGAGTCTTGGGAGTAATGTCTTACCGGCGCATCTTCTCCTGTCGAGTTGTGGTAGACGTCTTCGGTCGTGTTCCCGAGCCCGTAATAACACTCCGACGTGGACGTGTTGCCGGCGGGCAGTTTGGAGCCCTTGCTCTTGACCATGGCCACGAGAGCGACGCTCAGGTTCACCCGCAGTGAGTAAACGTTCATCAGCCCCAAGAAGCCCAGGAAGACGAACACATACCGGGTCGGAATGAAGTCTGCGATTAAAGGAAACCACTTCTGCGTTGACGCTACCAAAGTTCGTTTACATCAACGGCATCGCAGCTTTGGTGTAAATAAAATAGGGGACAGTAACTAGAGGCTGCGAAGACCTATGTGGCGTCAGCGTAAAAACCCTGCTAAAATAAAAAAAAAAAACAGGTCCACTTATACGACCTATGTTCCGTTAATAACCTACGCATCAAAACCCATATTTAAAAATAACCTTCTTTTTTTTTTGCGGAATTCACAGTTTAAGGCATTTCATGACCACCTAGCGCATATACCTTAAACACGTATTGTGCACATAAACCATCAGAAATAGCGTCGGCGGCTGGGTGCCACAGCCATTTAATTAAGATATCAGCAACTAAAAACTTATTATTGACAAGTGGAAGAAAGCAATGCCGTTTATGCGCCATCTGATACGAAGGGGATGGTAGACGTCCATGACCAAACATAAAATTGATGCGTGCCTTCTTCATTGAAAAAATTGCATTGAATAGTGATACGATTCGTTCATACCATATTATGGTGTTTTTTTTTTCAAAAGAAGACAATCGAATAGTAAGCATCCTTAGTGTGCCATTAGCTATTGTTAAATTATCACATTTGCGCTATCGAATTTTGTACTTGGGACGGTGAGCATCAACTCACCGAAAAAGCTTTCGCCATGACGACGCTTTTGAAGAACCTGGTTCGGTTTGGCAAGGGTTGCGCCATTTTCCTGGTAGGCCTTCATGTGTGCCGGTAGATCTGGTCAGCTTCCACGGTCTGAAACACCCACAGGGCGGAAGGTCTCAGCCCCAGCACAGGTACACTGCTTGACACTGCTAACGCAAACACGACATCGGCGCTTTTCTGCGTTTCCCTCAAACAGACCAGTGATTATCACCAAAACTATAGAGCCTAAATTACTACCCTGAGCGAGGATTGTCCACCACACCAGTTGTTCTAATGACAACTGTTCAACTTTAGGAATAAAACATAAAAAAAAAACTGAAAATCGGTTGTTCGCATTGACAATGTCGCGCTGTGTACGTGACATCAACACATCTAACAGGTGTGAGTTCTAATTCACCTGAACCCAACTCTTGACAAGGAATAAGCGAGGACATACATAGAAGCCAAGGTTGATGAACAGGCGAGCTAGTTCACGGGGAGCGTTTTAGCGCGTTGGATTGTCAGTGTTAGCACAATTCGCGAAGTGTGACTGTCAAAGTCACTCGAAAATATATACATATTGGTTCGATAGATCTCTGTCCCTTCGAAAAGTCTTCCAGATGCCGTATTAAGTTTGATGTTTTTGGATATGAGCCGTTTTTTTATGTAATTTCAATTTCCCAGCAATATTTTTGTTTTTGTTAGATTTGAATTCACTATATCTTATCGGTGATACTGTTTATACTTCGTCTCGCCCTACGATGGACTAAAGGCGAAAAGCATACGGTCCAATAACGAGCCACTTAGAAATTGTGCGGTATTTCGTTTCGATGCGCGTATCGGTGCCCTCGTTTCGGATTTCTTATCAGGGGATGGGTGGACAGCGGTTCGAATCGAATAGCACTGAGTGACTCAGCAATTTTTCATCGCAAAGAAAGCCACGCCACACGGGCTCTTTGCAGCGTCGAAGCTATAGAACTTATGTGGCGCTTTTGAATTCGGAGCATTATTCGTCCACTCCTAATTGATGTGAAGCATGTCATAGTATAGCGTGGAACGTGATTGGACCTGGCGGCCCGTGGCTTTGGCCTTTAGTCCATCGTAGGATGAGACAAAGTGTAGTATTACCCATTTTGTTGGAATGTTTTCAAAAATAACAAAATCTCGGGGCGGCTATGGTTAGCGCGGTTAGATCAAAACTTTGGCGTCGCGGCCATGAGAGGTTTGTTCATAATTGTGAAGAGTCAAATGCACTGAATGTATCAAAACAGCTATATTTTAATCGGCCTGAATTTAACGTAACGACGTAAAAACTAATTACATGTTTCAAATTAGTAGACGAGCGGGCACTTACAAGCGAAATTTAATTTAATGTGTAAACAAAATTGGAAAACAAATTTAAAAAAGGCGTCAGTTAAAAAAAAAAAAAAAAAAAGACGGACAAACGACGACTTTTTTTTGTTCGACTATTGGTCTTTTCTTAGCATTTTCATTTTGGGCTTTTCCAAGATTGCAACGAAAGCCAAAAAACGTATTGCGAAACAGGAGTTGATTTGTTACTGTGATGTTCGATGACCAAAGTATTTCTTCGTTTTCCTTCGTATCTGATTTACAAGAACACAAACATAAAGTAAATTTTATCGTGCAAATGAGCCGCTAAAAGTTCATGATGAATATACAAAAAGTCGGGAAACTGACAAACAAAAGAAAACAAAAAACATAGAAAAAGACAGAAGTTTTAAACAGCAGCGGGTTCAGGTGAACCTCATATATCCGTTTTCTAACAAACGCGCAGCTCTGTTTCTAGCTTGTTTGCTTGCCTCCTCTTTCAGCTTATTCCCTCTGTCTCGGGCATTCCTTCCCGTAGTATTCAATATTTGGTGAAGCTCATGAACTGTCATTGGATAATAGACCTATGTTTGTAACTTTTACACGCATATTTTTTCAGGACTACAGTTTGCAGATAGGAGTACCCGACTGTGATGTCACGGCGCTGAGGGCGCATGATCGGATGCTGCACTTCCCTCGAGTCTGGTTCGCGCGCACGCGCAGTGGCCACACCTGGTGCGGGAACAGCGCGTTTACCCCAGAGAGTTATTATAATGTACACTAGAGGTGCAACTGGCGCTAGTGTGCTGTTACAAATTGAAGCAGACAATTCAACCAGTCGAAAACTGACTTGCGGTAATGCATTGCTGTAGGGAAATCTGAGTGCATTTTCCCCCTGCTCTTCATTAGAATAGCGAATAGCATGAATAATTCGTACATACCAGAAAGCTTAGAACGTTTCGCAATCACGCAGATGAAAATATTGATCACTTACGGAATTTTTAATCAAAATTTATTGCAATAGAAACGGCGCTAAAACGGTTTCGTACATGCATTTGTGTGCATTCTCGGACGCTGTTAGCGCGAACACGGCGTCGGCGCTTTTCAGCATGGGGGACATACGTGCAAACGAACGAAGGAACGAAGAGGTGCAGCGCTTCGAATTTTGAGCCCGGAGACATCGTCGTGGTGGAGAGAGAATCACTTCCAATAGGACATTCAAGGAAGCTTTTAAAAAAGTTTCAAGGTCCCTACGTAGTAACGGAGAAGCTTCCAAATGACACATACCGTGTAGAAGACATTCCGGGCCGATCACTTACTCAGCGTTTCTACACGTCTACGGCCCCAATTGACAATATGAAGCGTTACTATGCTTTCGACTTAGACAACGAACCCGATCATGACGACTGCGAAGACGAAGAAGACAATTGAGGCAATTTTTCACAGGATGGCCGAGTGTTAGCATCCTGCTGAGCACGAGAGCTCAGAGAGAGACGAGGACGACGATGAGCACCCGCGAAACGTGCAACGATACGAACGTTAAAAGCTCTGAACATATAAAATGCTTTCTACCTTTTGACAACTGCGTATTTGACGACTAACACTTGTGCATGCAGATGATCAAAATAAATTGAATCGGCCGGGCATATTAGCAATACATAAGCGCCACCACAATGCTGGCGAACCTTGAACACGCTCTAAATTCCTTTCGATTGTTGTTTTGCGTAGAATTGTCGCTCGTTTTTACATGTCTGCTATGGAACAGAAGTTCGGGCCTTAAATATAGCGAAGTTTCCCATACTTCACTGGGGAAGTAAAATGTTGTAACTGAAGCAACTAACTTTTTACAATGTTAATAAATGCACATAATTTTCGGCACGACCGAAATAACGAAAGTGATCTATGTTATTTTCCGGCGAAGAGACAAAACGCACGGGCGTTTTCCCATAGAAATGCACAGGAGCCCCGAAAAAGGGGACTGGTTGCTGTCTGCTTCGATTTGCATCCCGGAAGTCGCATTGACACTAGCGCCAGTTGAATCTTTAGCGTACATTATAATAACTCTATGGTTTTCCCACAACTTGCGGGGAATTGCTTGCAAATAGCGCGTTGGTTTTACATGTATAAAAGGTGGATGCTCTACGCCTTGCGGGCTGTCAAAAGGTGAAATTATAGCCAGCCGGAAACAGCCATACGGCGCCAACGGTGAGAGCCCACGGTTATTGCCCTGTTTCGTTGTAAGTTGGCAAAGGATGCACGATAAGCCCCACACCGCGTGCCGACTTCTTCGATATGCGCTACGTATACGAGCGCAAGACACGCATATTAGAGCACGGCGCAGCGAAAAGCTTGATAATTTTTCGCAGTAAAAGCGCACACCGGTGATACGTAATCACGTTCCGATTGGCCCGCCAGGGCCTTGGCTTCCGCGTAAGTTGGCAAAGGGTGAACGATAAGCCCCACACCGCGTGCCGACTTTTTTTATATGCGCTACGTATACGAGTGCAACGCACACATATTGGAGCATGACGCAGCGAAAAGCCTGATAATTCTTCGCAGTAAAAGCGCACTCCGGTGATACGTAGTGACGTTCCGATTGGCCCGCCAGGGCCGTGGTTTCCGCCGTACAGGCGTGTTATGCGATCATGCGATCACGGCCTCCTGGCCTACTCAATAGGTCTGTTCGATTCGCCCGAACTGGCTGAACTAGTTCAGCAGTGCAAAAACTGGCGCATTCGATTCAACCGGAAATTGCACGACCGCTGCACTGGCGCGTTCGATTCATCCTAGTTCTGAACGAGTTCAGTCCCAGTTCCGGAAATGCTTGCACCGGCTCCGAAGCCAGTTCAGCGTTCGTGCAGTAGCAGACGACGAAAGCAGACGACGAAAGCAGACGACTCTTCTCTTTCTTGGTCGCTGTGCTCGGTCATTAAAGCATGTTTGTTATACACAATAACGTAGAAACGGAAGTCTTCCCACTTGTGGACGAAAATGGTGTACCCGTAGTGGACGGAAGCGGGATGGTGTACCTTACCGAAGGTAGGAATAAGCTCGAATTAAATACGTTAAAAATCGTAAGAGGGCTGCGTCGGCTTGCTTACGCAGCCTTGCTTACGTTTCGTGAATGACTTGCTTAAGCCAGTCATTCACCTCGCGATTATACATCGATGTTTACAATGTTCGCATTCTATTCTTTAAGACGGAGAACGAGTTACGCTCGCCTTTGCCTCTGAGCCGGACGCAGACCCAACTGTCCGGCAGCCTGCGCGTCCACCCACAACGGACGTCGACGGGCAGCTGTGGAGTGCCGCGAAGACGAAGTTCTTTATCGGCTGTTATAAGGAACTAAAAGAGCGTCTGAGAGCAAAGGGGGGTTTCAGGTATGTCTTTGTCAGGATATATTTTATAATACATGCTAATACGTAGTAAACATCATGTTTAGGACCAAACGAGCCCTTTGGCAGCAGCTGGCCGACACCGTCGTCGGAGAGTTCGGCGGCGTTGTCACCGCTGACCAGGCCGAAAACAAATGGAAGTCCTTGGAGAGAGCGTACAAGAATGCCCAAATCAAAAAACAACAAGTCAGGCCACTCTAGGGTGCATTTTGAATACGAGGAGTACGTACGTTCACTAATTTTTTATTTAGGTCATCACTTGTAAACGTGCTGTTTCTGTGGTTTAGTGAGCTTCGTGACATCCTCGAGAAAGAGCACCATATTTCACCAACCGTGTTGTTGGCGCCGGGAAGAGTGCTTGAAAAGGAAGGAGACACCAGGTAAGTA